TCAATTTTATCCAGTGTACCAACAGTGATCCATTCCTTGTGATGGTGCTTCTTTTGGCCCAGAACCTCCTGACATGTTGAAACGATTGCCTCCTTGATACCTTTCCAGCTGCTCTCTATGGTGGTTCCCTCTCCATTGAGTAGATCATGAAAGGCCTGGAACCTGTTGCTGAGGGCTATGTTGAATTTGTTGAGTTTGTCAGCATCTCGAAGAAAGGCCGTGTTGAACTTTTGCGATGTTGTCCGCACCGTTGTCCAGTGCTTCTTGAGTTTTAGTTTCATCTTGGCGACCAGCAAATGGTGATCGGATGCTATATCAGCTCCTCTTCTGGTTCTCACATCCTCCATCGTCCTCCTGAACTTTTTGTCGATGCAGACATGGTCGATTTGATTTTGTGTAGTGTGATCCGGTGAAATCCAAGTGGCTTTGTGTATGTTTTTGTGTGGGAATATGGTGCCACCTATGACCAGTTTATTGAAGGCACATAGGTTTGCAAATCTCTCACCATTTTCGTTCCTTCCTCCCAGTCCATATTGTCCCATGACGTCTTCGTATCCAGTGTTGTCCTTTCCAACCTTGGCATTGAAATCTCCCATTAGAATGGTCAGGTCCTTGGTTGGGCACTTCTCGAAGATTGACTGCAGCCTATCGTAGAATTGGTCTTTAGCGTCTTCATCGTAGTCGTTGGTCGGCGCATAGCATTGGATGATGTTCATTGTAATGCCCTCTCTCTTTGTTCTGAAGGAGGCTTTGATGATCCTCGGTCCATGAGATTCCCATCCTATAAGTGCATTTTGTGCTTTTCTAGACAGCATCAGTGCCACTCCTTGTGTATGTGGGGCATTTTCTTCTTCATGACCGGAGTATAACAGAAGTTCCCCTGAAGACAGTCGTTGTTGTCCAACCTGCGTCCAATGTGTTTCACTGATTCCAAGCACTTCCAGGTTGTATTTCCTCATTTCCGCAGAAATTTGGAAGACTCTTCCGGTCTCCCACATTGTCCGGACATTCCATGTACCTATAAAAATTGTCGCTCTGGTTGTAAGAAGGTGCATCGGCCTCATGACTTCCGAATGAACTCGGCTTTCATCATGAGACGTCATTTTTCCTTCTACTCCCAGGGCAGAGTTTGAAAGGTTTGAATGATTTTTTCTGGTTAGCGTTTTTTTAGCGAGTTGATTTTCTACGGGATGGGGTCGCTAACCCCATGCCCAACCCTCCTCCTTTACCCGGGCTTGGGACCGGCAGTAGCCCCTGGAGGAGCTACAGGCGGAGTTTATTAATTAACCCCCTGCGATTCAATATGCTGAAGCTTCACATTACAACATTCGTAACTCCTTGCCTTTAGCGAAACGAACATATTCCAGATCTTCCCTCTATATGAATTATTTTACCTGTAAGTTTTCTAGACTCTGGAATGATCTCCCACAAACTATCTGTACGTTAAACTCTCTCCCATTATTTGTTCGCCCCATTAGTGAATATCGCTCCTCAGAAAATGCATTAAATGCTCTAGCGCCTGTAAGTGTATCTTACTTCACAAGTGAGATTATAGGAACTTTAAATGTTTAACCTCGTACTTGCTGTCACTTTACATTAACACTGTCACTAGCAACTCTAACACGTTTGAATAATATCTAACATGAACAGTGGTAACCTGGACGGCATATTTTGGCAATCATTCTTTTGTTGTTTCGTGCTCTTTGTTTTAATCTTACTTTCTCTAGTTGTAGATATTTATCAATAACTTGCCCTGGCACTGGAAATAATCTTAAAGAAATGCGTTCATAAATCATCAGGCTATTCACTTAAGAAAAAATTAAAAGTTCCCTGGTGTTGCACTGGCTTTTCGTGATATATACCATATATAAACTACTTGTCAATTACTAAACCAGCAAACATAAAACAATCTTATATTTCATGTTTGTTCCATACATCAAATGTTGCTTTTTATATCAATCTGTTTATGCCTGTAAACTGGTGTGAATTCTGTAAATATTATTTTCAGAATATATATATATATATTATACTTATGAGACACAGTTAAATACCCTGTTGACAGAATAATAAAAAACACGATTATTTGGTAACCAACCGATATCAACGAAAGCAACTAGGCCTGTACGGTAAACAGGTATTTGAAAATGTGGAGAGATGGGGTAGGTTTTCCCTTTGCGTGGTGAATCAACTGAGAGATAATAATTATTGAAAAGTTCAACCGCCACACAAAGAGTGTTTGTTAGCTCGCTCTATAGATAAGCTATGAATCCTGTCAATAGCAATACACGTTTCTGACAAGCGACGAATGCAGCACCTACCCCTTGAAGATAGTCAATATAGTTACAATAAAGATCACAGTCAATGAATCAGGTTGCCAGGAAATTACGGCAATTGAGGAAAATAAAATTAAGAAAATCACTGAAAATCTATATAACAGAAAGGAAAAATCCAAGGAATTCCACAGACAAAACAAACTATCTCAATTTTGTGAGGGTGTTAATCCTTAAGAAGACCTACGGTAACAAGAGATCATTTGTCCTAATTACACCTCCTGCTAGGTGGACTAACGGAAGCGGTTGAACACAACGCTTAAATAGAGATCAGCGCAATATTAGTAATAGTGATACATACACAACATTTCATCCGCAACTGAATTATTGACGGGCTGGATAAGTACATATTGTTATAACGTATGCCCTGAGCAGTCTTGGGTGCTATTCGGTCCTTCCTATCTGCCTAGCCCAGCCCGTTAAGTCCAGAACACAAATAACAGCCTCGGAAATACGAATCATTATTTACAAACACACTGGGTTTTTATACAAACCAAAGTAATCAATAAACTGATTATAACTCAAGAATCGTATGATCATAAATCAAAGATCAAAATAAAGCTCATGATAAGAGAAACACAAATATGAATAATTTAGTTACGTAACAACTGTACAATAAGAAATAGGCATAATACATTGGTCGATAATAGACCTCAGATTTACCATTCATGATTCACCAGGGGATATAACACCTCCCCTTTTTGAGAAATCCGGAGTTGACATTCGGATTTTAAATTTCTCGAATTCACCCTCCCCCACGAAAGATTGTTGGATCCTCATGTATCCAAGTTACCGTTATTGTGACATTATTTAAAACATATTCGTCGTATTTAACAGAAAATCCACCAGAACTGATTATATCGTGAGGATCGACGACATTCGATTTGAGGTCACCGGCGTCTGATTCTTTTGAAACACTTTCCTTGAATTTACTCGGAACCTCATTAGTAGATAATGAATCATTAGGATAATCAGTATCTATGAAATTTGTATTGGATTCTTGATTATCATTTAATGCATCCGATATTTTTCTCCCATTTTTATAAGAGATTTGAACTGGAACATATGAATCAGCAAAATAATCGGGATCTGGCAGAACAATTAGATAATCTTGATCACTAGATTCATTAGACAAATTTTTTGCATCGTGACTGGTTTGATTTGGCGCCACTGTATTCACTATACTGCTCGGTTTGTTTCCCATTTCTTCATGCGCGGGTACTGCAGCACTTTCATAAGCATTTAGCAAGACATTGTCTTCCTGTGAACAGAATAATTCACTGTTTGCACGTCCTTTTTCAGGAATAACAGGATTTGGACCGTTTATAGGGCATGTCTCTGAAACAGACAGTACCGGACCACTGGGCTGATCATGTATAACTGCTAATGATTCGTTTAATTTACTGTTTGTCATGGATTCATTGAGGCTTTCACTGGTATATTCATTTGTTCTGCAATCGACTTCCAGTTCTGTACGCAATTTAGAAATCAATGCGTCAACTTCCGTTGCACCCCCAAAGCATGGGTGATTCAGCAGCGTCGCGTGTAACTTGTCAATGAAATCCAACTGACTCTTTTTAAAACGCTGCTCTTGTCTCTGAATTAGCAACTGAAATTGATCGGAAGTTAAAGCCATTTTTTTACCCTGTCGTCAGTTGTTATATCGTATGGGCCCGTAATATATATGAACGTGCAATTAGAGAGGAGTGGATTTTACTGATCGGATGCAAATGATACTTGAAATACGTACGAGCAGTCTTGATTACTGTATTTTTTTTCCAGAATCCCCGTCGAAAACTGTATACTTTTTTCTTTTGCGTACCAAAATCCCCGTCGCCACTGTTATATCGTATGCGCCCGTAATTTGTATGAACGTGCGATTAGAGAAGGTAGTGGATTTTACTGATCGGATGCAAATGATGATTGAAATCGTACGAGCAGTATTGGGTGCTATTCGGTCCTTCCTATCTGCCTAGCCCAGCCAGTTAAGTGCAGAACACAAAATAACAGCCTCGGCAATATGAATCATTATTTACAAACACACTGGGTTTTTATACAAACCAAAGTAATCAATAAACTGATTATAACTCAAGAATCGTATGATCATAAATCAAAGATCAAAATAAAGCTCATGATAAGAGAAACACAAATATGAATAATTTAGTTACGTAACAACTGTACAATAAGAAATAGGCATAATACATTGGTCGATAATAGACCTCAGATTTACCATTCATGATTCACCAGGGGATATAACACATATAATCGAAATATTTCAGCTAGCTGAAAATGTATTGTGCTGAAAACTCATATCCCGTCAAGGGACTTTCCTCATAAGGTGCTTCTGGCCATCTGGTAGAGCTGAACTGGATACTAATACCACGAAGAGAGCTTTTAAAAGCCATTCAGTCAATCAGGACCTGCCGCGAAGACAGTATGCCTGTTAAATAGTTGAATGACTGGCATAACAGAATCGGAGTTCTCTGAGGCTCTGAAACACTTGCATATGGATAGGAGTCAGATGGATCGGAATGGCCTCAGGAAAATTAAACAAAAAATCGAAGTTTACTGAGTTGGGGGATATATTTTTGGTTATAGGGTGAGGTATAGAAGTACATAAATGTTAAATGTCTAGTTATCTGAGCAGATACGTTCCGAGGCCGGTCAAGTCACCATTTGATGTGGATACTTCCTGAGCACCCTCATCTAGTGACACTTTCAGTAAAACTGAAATGGTTAACAGCAGTGTTAAATATCTTTAAGCTATTGATCTTAGTGGATTGCATAACACTTAACCCAGCAGCAAGTTGTGTACTAAGTAGTTTCAATTTCGTACTTGTTAAGACATTTATACTATCGTCTGATGACAATAACCGCTAATTATTCTATAACATGAAGATACAATCTCGTGACTATGAAATTGGACGTTCTATGGATCTTTAGCGGTTAACTCGCAGTTGGACGTTTCAATTTAGTGAAGGTATGTTCAAACAGCTCGATTTTCATTGCCAATGTCGTAGAGCTTAGTGTAACCCTGTTATAGAAACCAAACTTTGAATCCTTCGGTTATTTTAAATTTCTCGAACTGCTTTTCTACCAGAAAAGCTACGTAATAGGAAAACACATTGTGGATAATTTTTTATTGCAATGTGATCTAAATCATGGTTTTGGTATACTGCTAACTGTTGAAAGTTTCCTTGATGAATTAAAAAGTCCATTCTGTGATTGGGATTGTCATTTATTTTCTATGGCTTGCCATTCATTCCAAACTTACGTAGCAACACATTGACAGTTCAGACGTTAACTTACTATGGTAGACCTAGGTTAGCTATTACTACTCTTTGATTTCCGTCGGTCTCATCTGTGAAGGATTTTTGTGATACTTTATATTATAGCCATTCGCAATTAATATGCGACGTGACATAATTGCTCATCGGTATAAACAGCTACTCAGGGTTATCACTATTCTTAGCGGAGGAGCTTTTCTATGACTAGTTGGGATAATTGAAGTAGCAGTGAGTTGGGAAAACTAGAGCGAACTTAAGAGTTCTAGAGCTCAACAGTCATTTAGTGATGCCGAGTCATTTTCAACCAATGGTTTATCATTATTTGTTTATTTGAACATAAATAGTGATACAAAGGGGCACCAAACACATATGCGCCACATCAGTCCCTTGATTTGTGTATGTGCTGTAATACTTCCCGAGTACCCAGACTAAAGCAGGTGGTCTTCTTGGAGGGCCACACCCGGAGCCTTCGACCTAAAGGCATGATCCACAAGACAGTGGAGATGCAGTCTCATGGTAGCAAGTGACCAACGATTGATTCATACGCCATTTGTTCCCTCAGGATACTGGAGCCCATGTGCACCATTGGTTTGAAATCAGGGTTTTCCAACTCCCCGAGGTGAACTTTCCGTGTCCACCAACCCGGTTAAAGGTCCGGGCATCTAGCGAGTAGGACTTCCGTGGCAAAGGCTAAATACACGTGGCCATTTGAGAGCATTTGGAGAGGGAAAGCGAACTCTCCCCACTCTCGATCGTACTAGGGCATTTGGGTGCCTTTGTGAAGGTAGTGGTACGTTAACCAATAGCATTCAACGATGTCATGAACAATAACTGGAGCATTTCAGTCTCTCTTTTGTTCCAGAGGCATCAGGTCGAATGCCTTGTCCTTTTCGGTTCGTGATCAAAGGTTCCCAAGCAAACCCAACTTGTGGAGTACGCCAATCCACCTAGCCCAAATGACCTATTCGTGATCTGAAGAGGTAATGGAGAACTAGGTAAAGAACCAACTGAGTTGCTAGAGAAAGTGAATATGTTCCAATTTCTTGGGATAAGGCAATCATCACCCTCATCTTTAAAATGAGCTTACGCCATCAATACAATGACTATCTAGAGATAAGTATACCTTTGATTAAATGTAAACTATTGGCTTTCGTCATAACTCACAGATTGTCTAAAACCCACAAGACTGTCTCTCTAGGTTCCTTTTGGTTTCCGATCAATCCTCAGATTTATTAGTCATATCTTCACCCTCTGCTAAACATTAAAACACCGATATACTTATTACAGACCAACAATTGTGTTTCTTGATATCAGGGCCTCTTTTGACTCATGAGACAGGATTGTTTGTTAAAGAGTGTGTGAGTTTATTAACATATTGAAGGCTCTGTTCGGAAGCATGCCAAGCAGAACGGGGGCATAAAACCACGTCTTTATATTATCTTGCCATAGGAATTAGTTTAAACAGGGCTTCTCAACATTACCATTCCTCGTCACATTTGCCATCGTTGACATTCTGGGAAGAGCTCTGATATAAGTATGTAGTGGGGGATGTAAACTCGTTACTCGGAGAAAGACCTTCATCTTGAGTATGCAGATGTATTTATTTTATTTATCTATTTGGACATGTAAACATTATTACAAAGGGGCACCGAATACATATGCGCCACATAATAAAAATGAGGTTGTGAAGAGATAGAGAATAGAGGGTGAGTATAAAGACGAGAAGCACTGAACATAATTTAGTGTATGAAAGCGAGATAACAATAAAAGAAGCAGTTTAGTTAGCTAAAGTGCAACCAGAAAGAATTATTTCAGCTAGAGAAGTTACATTCACTGTTATGAAAAAAGTAAAGTTATATCGGGATCGCCAGTTGCAACACCATGTTAGTAATACTGACGTTCGTCAATTTGTGTTTGGTCAAAATTGCAATTCGGTTAGTACCTCCACTTCGTATTCAACGGCTTAAACATGTTCTAAAAATGTTATCACAAGGGTTTCCACTTTATTTTCCCACTCTGGAACTGGTTAGAAAAAGCATAGGTAGTCAGTTTATGACACGGAGTCGAGGCACGGAAAAAAGCGATATAGCATTGGCTCCTAGCGACCCATCACAGCTTTCTGGTTGCGATCCTAGGAGTGGTGTAAAGTGGTGCCTTGAAACATCATGAGACATCTGAGAATAGATACAGATGGCGATGCAGGTGTAGCTACTTTTTACGTTCTTTGCATAACTGAGTGGAATCCCTTTAACTGAAAAAATCCTATCTCGGTCGTACTGTTAACTGAAATTTACCTCCCATTGCATACTGTTAATGTTCACTTTATTTATTTTGTATTCTTCCTCTTTAAATATACTCCCTCCCCCTCTTGTCTTCCTCACAGCGTCATCTCTGTATTTCACGTGAAGAATTCTGTTTGTATTACCTAGTTGTATCAGATTTTGTGTGCATTAGTTAAGTAAATTTAGTCATTGCTGTATTAGGTACAATTCGTCTTTACGATTAACACCCATAAGTCACTGTACTCTACAAAGTTGGTCTTCACATTCATATTAGTGTTACTGAAAGTGCTTACAGTAGTTTCTGATTACGAATGACTGGGATATTCTTTTAATACGAAAAGGGGTCTACGAGAATTGAATAGACCCGTAAACCATTGCTTAATGCTTCAATGATTATTCCGCGCATGATGTTTTACAAAGAAATCTTTTACGAATAGTTTATAGACAGAGACCCTAGAGGAATTTAATTACATTCACTTATGTACATTTAATTTATTAATTACAAAATTTGTCAATCTATGCAATTGTCACTTGAACACAAATTCACTGTGCATTAGTTAATACGATCATTTCATTTATTTGTGTGGTGGCCGATGGGGGACTTGTTGGTCGCTGGACAGATAATGGGGACCGTTTGCTGCAACTGTGCACAGACCACAACCTGTTTCTGGCTAGTACTAACTTCCGGCGCAGTCATCGCCGGTGTGCCATCTGGCGTCCTCCCTCTGCATCCCAAGCCTGGACTCAGATTGATCACATCGCGATCAGCCACCGCTGGCGTGGTTGTGTACAAGACTGCTGCTCCTTTTGGAGTACCTATCTGGAGTCTGATCATGCCATGGTCTGCGCCAATCTCACCTTACTTTTCAGTGGCCGAAGGATTGACCACCACCAACGGATTGATGTTAGTAAACTGGCTGCAACTTCTGTTGCAAGTAAGTATCGAGCGGAGCTAGCCTAGAGGCTAGCTACCACCCCACCGAAAAGTATAGATGAGCATTGGTTGCTTCTTCACGACGCCATGAAAATGGCGAGGAAAGCCGCTTGCGGCTTCGCGAAACGTCCCGCTTACAAGCACTGGATTTCTTCTGGCTCCTTACAACTGATGGAAGCCCGTCGGTCTACTCCGGGTGACCGTGAGTTTGACCACAAACGAAGGCTGTTACGTAGTGAAATCGGGCAAAGCTTGCGTAAGGACCGAGAAGCCTGGTGGTCGGAGCGTGCCAATGAGATGGAAGCAGCAGCTGCATCTGGTAACTGCCGGAAGCTCTTCCAACTCATCCGAGCCACTGGCAGCAAGAAGTCTGGTGTGAGTGAAACAATCTACGAGGATGGGATGCCAATCACTAATATCTCTCGACGTCTTGGACGATGGGCAGAATTCTTCGAAGGGCAGTTCAACTGGCCTGCTGCTCCGGCAACATCAACCAGCTTGTCCTGCCCCCCATGGCCGGTGACGACTGATCCACCAAACGAGGCGAAGTCCTCAAGGAACTCCAACTCTTGAAACGTTACAAATCACCGGGCCCAGATGACTTACCTCCAACTCTTTTTAAAGATGGTGGTGACTTTCTGACTAAGGAATTGACTGTGTTGTTTGGAAATGTTTGGGAACAAGAAAGTGTTCCAACATCATGGAATGAGTCGATAGTCGTCCCTATCTTTAAAAAGGGTTCACGTTGTTCCTGCAATAACTATCGGGGGATAAGTTTACTTTCGATTGCGTCCAAACTATTGGCTTCTATCATTCTTCGTAGGTTGTTTAAAACCCGAGAACGATTGACTCGCGAGGAGCAGGCTGGTTTTCGTTTTGGTCGAGGATGCATTGATCACATCTTCACCCTCCGCCAAATGTTAGAACACCGTCATACTTATCGCAGGCCAACAATCGTAGTGTTTCTTGATATCAGGGCGGCCTTCGATTCGTTGGACAGGACTGTTCTCTGGGATTGTCTATTGAAGAAGGGTGTGCCTGAGAAGTTCATTAACATCTTAAAGGCCCTGTATACGAACACCTCAGGCAGAGTGAGGGCATACAACCACCTTTCTCCCTTGTTCCATTCGAGCAGTGGGGTTAGATAGGGTTGCCCGATCTCACCATTCCTCTTCAACTTTACTATCGACGACATCCTGGAAACAGCTCTGATGAATGTAAGTAATGGCGGTGTGGATATGTTGCCTGGAGAACGACTTCTCGACCTCGAGTATGCGGATGATATTGTCTTACTGTGCGATAATGCTCAAGCCATGCAATCCGCACTTAATCAGTTGGCAATCAGTGTCCGCAGGTACGGCATGTGCTTTGCACCCTTCAAGTGCAAAATTACTCCTACAAGACTGGCAGGATTATCATCCTGTACTCACCCTGGATGGTGAGCAGATTGAAGTAGTTGAGAAGTTCGTGTATCTAGGTAGCTATATAAGTGCTGGTGGTGGCGTGAGTGATGAGATTGATGCACGTACAATGAAAGCCAGAGCGGCTTATGCCAATCTGGGCCATCTTTGGCGCCTTCGTGATGTTAGTCTGGCTGTAAAAGGTCGGATCTACAACGCGTCGGTGAGAGCAGTTTTGCTCTATGCTTGTGAAACCTGGCCTCTCCGAGTTGAGGATGTTAGACGACTCTGTGTTCGATCATCGTTGTCTCCGATAGATTGCTGACATACAGTGGCAACACCATGTTAGTAATGCAGAGGTTCGGCATCGTGTGTTCGGGCGCAGAGACGATAATTCAATTGATGTCACCATCTTGAAACACCGACTTCGGTGGCTTTGACATGTTTTACGAATGTCGTCCCAGAGACTTCCACGCTGTGCATTATTTGCCGACCCTGGGACTGGTTGGAAAAAGCGGAGAGGAGGTCAGTGTATGACATGGTGTCGTGGCATGAAATATAGCTGCAAAGGGCTAGCTTCTGTTGGTCCTTCACGACTCCCTGGCTAGGGTCCGAGAGATGGTGCAACACAGTGGCTAGAGACGTTATCAGATATGGCTCAGAATTGAAGCCAGTGGCGATCCTGTTGCAACCTTCTTTTACTTTCTACATAAAGAATGGTTCTAACTTTCTTAACTGAAAGAGTCTTCTGGTTGTACATTTCAGTCCGCCTTATCTTTTCATCCCTTCTGTTCCTACTTTCATTATTTTGTGTGGCGCATATGTGCCTGGTGCCCTTTTGTACCAATATATATGTGTTTAAATAAATAAATAAACAAATAATAATTAATACGATAGTGCCTTGAAAATGAAGCAAGCTAATTTCATATTAAACAAATCGATAGGACTGATAACGTATTTTAAGTCAGTTAACGGAGTACATTTCAAATCAATTTGTGAATTGGAGAATTGATTTGTTCCTAAATGTAATATTTAAAACTCAACATCCCTAACAACTAGTTTTAGTCTATATACCTGATATTGTCAAATATGGCGTCCCTCAAAACCATTCGGAGTAAAAGTGTAGTAGCAAAATTGGTTCCTATTAGGCTGACGTTTTCTAAATAAGTTGTAGACTGTAGACCTTTGTGAGAGATTTAACGTTTTACTGTACATTACTTCTCCCTCTTTATATTTTTCTAGACATTTGTTCCTCCTGTTTGTCTACCAAAATAAAGCCGTTGACGTTTATTTATCAACAACCAATGTTCGCTGAATATTTATTTAGCTGTTTGAAGGCTTAATGACTCCAGACTAAAGGTTCACAGTCGTTTGGTAAACTATGCATCGAGTTTCGGATGTTCCAGTTATTCTGTTTAATCCATACTTGACGTGCAATCTGTGCCGAGGCTATTTAATCGATGCCACAACAATTGTTGAATGTTTGCACTCTTTCTGCCGCAGTTGTATCTTGACTTATCTCAAACTGAACACAACATGTCCGGTCTGCGCGACACTTTTGCATAAAACCAAACCACATTGTGCAATTCGGCCTGATCGTGCACTACAGTCTATCGTTTATAAGCTTATACCGAATTTATTTGAAAAGGAAATGCTATGTAGAAGAAAATTTTATGAAGGTGAATATTTGTTTACTAAGTTTTTATTGAATTTTAAGCAGATTTCGATGTTTCGGCCTTGTTGGTTAGACTTTTGACTTTAATGTGTGTTATTCTATACATCGTTGGGTATACTTTGGCGCATCATAATTTCTTGGATTGGTTGTGGGTTTTTCTACGTATATACAGGTGGGGTAGAATCTCAAGAGAAGACCGAAATCTTCAATTTTCTATATGTGAAATACAAGAAACTATTTAGTTGTCGTATTTACCAATTAAACATTAAATTATCGATTATCCCTTCTTAGGTTCCCGAGTTGTCGTGTTTTTAACAAGTTTGGAACTGTTGGTTAATAAATGAACGTTCAGTTCCTGTTAGTTTTATTTGACAGTTGTTGCCTTAATGCGTTGGTTAGAACTAGCAATTGGGATGATCAAATCAAACCACCTACTGGAAAGCTCAGCTATCGTAATTATAGCACAAATGCAGCTAGTTTCATATTACACAGAACTGTACTGTAATCAAATTCTTTGGTTGAAGTTCTACTACTGACTTTATTAAACTGTCACGATAGTATGGTATTCGCTTTAGGTGACTGAAATTCCTAGTGTTACTGAGCTTCCATCGTAAAATGATGGAAATAGGAAAAACCTTTTTAAAAGACCCACGTCATGTATTATTCAATATTTTAATATTTATTACTGGCAAAGTTCGGGAGTAAGTGAATAGAATTCCATAATTATAAGCCTACTGTTATCTGTTTTAAGAAAATATTTGTTAGACAGTGTCATAGTGCAACACTGATCCGGTTCCTAATTCATTAACTTCAACACATTTTTCATGGCCTGGAACAATAGTTCAGTCAGTAAGGCACAATCAACCTAAAGCCTGTGACAAATGTGCTTCAATCAAAGTTGTGATATCACATCAACGCGGCGAGATTAAATTAGCAGGGCAAATTGGGAGTCTCAGTTAACGGAAGGACTAAAAAATCCAAACTCAGTAGTTAAGTCAGATTCAGTTAACTACTAGGTTTTGTGGGAGTTTTTGGTTGCCTTAGAAGCACCAAACAAGTGTCTCATGTTACTAAGGCCTCTCAATCCTAGCACAATTGGTATGAATTATCGTTAAGGTCTTAATGTATACCGACGAAAACCCGGGGTTTCAGTTTGGATCATTATTTATTTACACACGGAAGTGATTTTTACGTTATTCGACTGGTTAAAGGTCGTGCACTTGGGGATCCCACTGGTTTATACTAAACAAAAGATAGGTATAAATCTTGACAAAATAGTCCTCCTAACATTAAACAAAAATCCAGAAGTATCCGCCATGTATTTAAACCGGTCAGATGTAAGATGATGCCATAAAACTAGTCGATTGGGTGGTTGGATGTTCTGACCAGTTGATTTATCAATTAAGTTTAATTGACCGATACGAAAGGTCTGATAAAAATTATGTCGCTAGTGTGTTACCAAAATTTATCTGAATGTACTGTTTGAATGTTTCTTCTGTTTAGCTCTATTGTCATAGACATGAAACTACTAAGTGAGACTGAATGGATTCATTCAAAGTTACCTTCGAAACTTTGGTTGTGTTAGAACTACAAAGGGAGCTATGTTGAAGTTATAATTCGTTGAAGTGGGACCTAAGGTATTATATCTGTCAAACTGCTATGTCTAATATTTGTGGTACTCTGTTAATTATACTGACTCAGCATATTTTGATGTTCAATTTTCTCAGCTTAAAAATCTTCGTAGAATATTCAAAGAATGAAGAATATTTGAGTGAACAATTGTTTTTAATAGCTTCATCATCAGGCGCTACAACCATAAGTCCATAATTATTGTAATACTTTACAAAGGTCAAAATAAGGAATATATTAATACATTTGACAATGTTCAATTTTATGTAGAAAAGTTTCTAATAGTAAGCATATCAGGACCACGGTGGTCAGTCAATATTAATCTAAGTTCTGAACTTACAATTAAGACCGAATGTATGTAACTGCCTAACAAGCACCTTACTGTATATATATATATATATATATGGTTATGCGTTCATGTTTAATGTCTAAGATTATCACGGTTCGTACTCTGTAAACAATTCTTGTAGTAATACTCACTTCGCAGCTGCTGGGTGAAATTTTATGCATTTTTTGTCGTGTATTCAGTACAGCTACTTAACTTTCAATCATTTAATGATCGATAAGGATAACCCCAACTAAAACCTTATAAATTCGGGTGTTTAGTATCAAAATGAATTTCAAACGTCTTTCCTTTTTCATTTCTTCTGTGGGAATCCGATATTATATCAATCATAAGGTCTTTTGTATTTTCTGACACATCAACGGTTCATGTTCTGAATTATAAGACGCTGGTCAACAGCGTTGATACATGTAATGCCATGTGTAACTTAATGTATCTGTCTTAACTTTAACTTTGCAGCTCATCCTTCATGTTACACCCGATCTTTAAGTCCTGAAAAACGTGGTGATTTAACCCTGAATACTTATGTACTTCAAGAAGAAGATCGTCTAAGCGTTGAACTTCGGTACTGGAATCAAAACGAACATAAGAATAATGGTTGCTCAAGTAAAGCTTCTAGTCAAACAGATTCAATCAGCCCGATACTGCCTGTTATCCCCCCTACATTTTTACTTTGTCCACCTGAACTTACAGTGGGACATATTGAAAAGCTGATTCGAATGAAGTTCAATCTAAAACCTAGTGAGCATGAGGTTTCTGTTTTTTTTTCAGTCGACGATCTTTTTAATTCTAACTATACACTATCAGATCTTGCCTGCTTGTATGCGTGGCGTCGCCAACAGCCTTTTAAATTATATTTTACAATAAAAGAAACATCGAGGCATGGATTTTCTGTGGTCATGGAATCCCAACCTCCGTCCACATCGAGTAACTTAACTCGTAGTATTTTAGAAAAATCTAAAATATGTCCCCAGAGTAATCATTCATCTTGGTCTGTAAAATCCAAATCCAGAAATTTCCCTACAAGTTCCCTTCGTAAACGAAATGTGAGTAACTCTGATGATGAGATGGAGGCTACTCCATTTGAAGTCTCTGCGCCAAACTCAAAAATCTCATCACAATCATTCTGCAAAATATCACTTCCAACGCAGTTCATAAAATCTATAAGCTTATCATCTCCTATGCTCAATACTTCAAGTTCTGTTTGTTCTTCGCTTGCCTAAAATCTAACTTACGTCCTAATATTCCATAACTAACCATTCGGATTTATGCCTCTGATGGTGCTTTATACTTCTGAGTCTGATTTTTCGGGTATATTATTGAAATTTTATTTATTCACATGGTTTTTTGTTCCTTGCTTTGTAAAGTCTCGTCAAAATCTGGAAGAATATTCCATTTTTTCTCCTAGTTTTGTACTAGGGATATTGTAAATTGTACATTTATTTTTCTTTTTATCATTGTCAATTACAGGCCATTTTTCTACTTCCTACCATAAAAAGACAATTAGTTTTCCGGTTTTTTAAACTTGATACTGTTCTAAAATAATTCCTTTGACGTTTCAGATTCTTTTTCTGGTCTTTTTTCACTGTTGTTTTATAGTATATGCATTGTTGGTCCCTTTTCAGTGTGATACAAATTGTGCGGTTCATGGTTTGCTGAATTTATAAAGCTTTATTGAAATAAATGTGGTGACCGTCTATTTAATATCTAGTTTAAGACAAAAACGGCAATGTAGGGTTCGTAGTCAACTCCTGAGAGATATGAGACATATATTAAAAAAAAATTGGTTTCAGTAATAAAATATATCATCCTTACTCTCACAGTGAATAGTAACTGTCTTATGATTCCCTAAATTGTTAATTTTCTTTTAGTTTATCGTCACTGATATAAGCAACGCTGCATGCTTGACCTTCTTTGACGCCTATAGTTTGTAAGCATTCAAAAAGCCCCCAAATGTCCTAGTACGACCCAGAGTCGGGACAGTCCGCTCTCCCTCTCGAAATGCTCTTACTCGGCCACGCGTATATACCCTCTACCAGGGAAGCCCTACTCACTGCCTTCTGGTGGCGGGGGTGTTGTTTACGAAAGTGAGAGGACGAAAAGTGAATATCCGGTGCTTTAACCGGGTTGGTGGACACGGAAAGTCCATCTAGGAGAGTCGGAAAACCCTGATTCCAAACCAATGGTGCCATGGGCTCCAGGATTTTGAAGGAACAAATGGCATATGAACCAATCGTTGGTCACCTGCTACCATGAGACTGCATGTCCTTATGATGCTCCACTACCTTGTGGATTATGCCTTAGGTCGAAGGCTCCGCGTGTGGGGCCCCCTAAAAAGACCACCTGCTTCGGTCTGGGCACCCGGGTAGCATCATAGCGCTCATACAACTAAATGAAATGACAGTTTTTTGTGTGGTGGATATATATCTGGTGCCTCCTTGTACCAATATTTGTGTTAATATAAATAAAGCATTCAGAAAAGATTGCCTCCCCGTGATTGAAATTTTGATTAATCTAATCCAGTAACAGCAATTATCTACGCCGAACATGCTGTACTGAAAAGGTGGTTATTTGACATTCTATTTTCAAACGCTGGGCTTAAGATTTCAAACTGTAATCCACGTCGCTTATATTTTGAAAATTCGGGTGATAGTATCACCAGCTGTCGTACGAAATATTTTACTCAGAGCCTATATGAATGTAGATAGTTGATTGTCTTATCCTGATAACTTACGGCTCGGCTTGACGCTAAATAACTTTCTATACGCGCGACATATATATATATATATACCTCCCCTTCATATTTTTGAGTAAATTAGCTGGTTTACAAGGTGCAGTGAAAACAGGATGCACTATAAGGAGACCATCAAGTTGAGAGTAGTCTCCTTATAACTTACGATACCTGGTAGTGTTTCATCCTTCATAATTCTTCTGGGACTGTATTGGTACACCTATGGAATAGGTGCTGCAGAAAGCTTGAAGAATTATTACATCCATAATTTATGATATTCGCTAGTACATCCGTGTATGGTTTGTTGATAATATCTCCGTTTATCAATCCGACCACAAAGAAAAAGATTACAAGATGTAACTGTCAAAAGATTTTCTTAAAAGTTCGAAATATCAAAGAAATATTATAGACTTCAATAGCTGGTTGGATAATTTGTTATGAATGTCATATGCGCGAATCAAACAATATGTTTAACGATTCATTGGAACGAGATAAATTGGAAGTTATACCGTAGATGGGGTCAACTAAAGACAATTATTGATTTTTTGTAACTACAAGGAAATATTACTTACTACTTACTTACTTTCGCCTGTTACTCCCAATGGAGCATAGGTCGCCGACCAGCTTTCTCCAACCCACTCTGTCCTGGGCCTTCTTTTCTAGTTCTATCCAGTTCTTGTTCATTCTTCTCATGTCTGTCTCTATTTCTCGGCGTAATGTGTTCTTTGGTCTTCCTCTTCTCCTTTGACCTTCAGGATTCCATGTGAGGGCTTGTCTTGTGACGCAATTGGGTGATTTCCTCAAAGTGTGCCCTATCCACTTCCAGCACTTCCTCCTGATTTCTTCCTCCGCTGGAATCTGATTTGTTGTCTCCCACGGTAACCTGTTGCTGATAGTGTCTGGCCATCGGATCCGAAGTATGTTGCGTAGACAACTGTTAATAAACACTTGTGTCTTCTGGATAATGGCTTTCGTAGTTCTCCACGTCTCCGCCCCATACAATAGAACTGTCTTGACATTTGTATTGAAAATTCTAACCTTGGTGTTGGTTGACAATTGTTTTGCTTTTCCCTTTGTTTATATTGAGACCTACTGCTGCTGAGGCTGCTGCTACACTGGTCGTTTTCTCCTGCATTTGTTGTTGCGTTTGTGATAGAAGAGCCAGATCATCCGCGAAGTCTAGATTGTCAAGCTGCATCCTGCCTGTCTACTGTATCCCGTGCTTTCCTCCTCGTTGACGTCTTCATGATCCAGTCGATCACCAGGAGAAAGAGTGAGAGTAAGCAACCTTGCCTAACACCGGTCTTTACCTCGAACGAGTCGGTGAGTTGTCCTCCGTGGACGATTTGGCAGTTTAGTCCATCATAGGAGTTCCGTATGATATTGACTATCTTCTCAGGCACGCCATAGTGTCGAAGAAGCCTCCATAGTGTCGTCCTGTCCACACTATCAAATGCCTTCTCGTAGTCGATGAAGTTGATGTACAGTGATGAATTCCATTCGATTGATTGTTCCACAATGATACGTAGAGTTGCGATTTGATCTGTGCACGATCTATCCTTACGAATTCCAGCTTGTTGATCTCGAAGTTGGGCGTCCACGGGATCCTTCATCCTGTTGAACAATACCCTGTTGAAGACTTTTCCTGGTATTGAGAGAAGAGTGATGCCCCTGTAGTTGTCGCACTTGCTAAGATCGCCTTTCTTTGGTATCTTGATCAGAAGTCCTTTTTTCCAGTCTGTTGGTACTTGTTATTCATCCCAAATCTTACCTAATAGAATGTGGAGTATCTCTGCGGTTGTTGCTACATCTGCTTCCAGTGCCTCTGCCGGGATGTTCTCTGGTCCCGCTGCTTTGCCACTCTTGATTTGTCTAATGGCCATGCTGATCTCTTCAATTGTTGGTAGGCCAACATCGATTGGGAGGTCCGTGGGTGCTGCTTCGATGTTTGGTGGGTTCAGTGGAGCTGGTCGATTCAAGAGTTCTTTGAAGTGTTCTACCAACCTGTTTCGTTGTTCTTCAATGTCGGTGATTACTTTGCCTTCCTTGCTTTTCACTGGTCTTTCTGGTTTACGGTAATTTCCAGCAAGTTTCTTTGTTGTATCATACAGTTGTCTCATGTTTCCCTCTCTTGCAGCCTTTTCCGCTGTCATCGCTAAATCTTCCACATATTTACGTTTGTAGGTTCTGATGCTCCTCTTCACTTGCTCGTTTGCCTCTGTGTATTCGGCTTGTGCCTTGTCTTTTTCCGCTCTGGTTCGGCTGATATTGATTGCTGTCTTCTTTTTCCTCCTTTCTTCAATTTTATCCAGTGTACCAACAGTGATCCATTCCTTGTGATGGTGCTTCTTTTGGCCCAGAACCTCCTGACATGTTGAAACGATTGCCTCCTTGATACTTTTCCAGTTGCTCTCCATGGTAGTCCCCTCTCCATTGAGTAGATCATGAAAGGCCTCAAACCCGTTGCTGAGGGCTATGCTGAATTTGTTGAGTTTATCAGCATCTCGAAGAAAGGCCGTATTAAACTTTTGTGATGTCCGCACCGTTGTCCAGTGTTTCTTGAGTTTTAGTTTCATCCAGGCTACCAGCAATTGATGATCGGATGCTATATCAGCTCCTCTTCTGGTTCTCACATCCTCCATCGTCCTCCTGAACTTTTTGTTGATGCAAATATGATCGATTTGATTCTGTGTAGTGTGATCCGGTGAAATCCAAGTGGCTTTGTGTATGTTTTTGTGTGGAAATATGGTGCCACCTATGACCAGTTTATTGAAGGCACATAGGTTTGCAAATCTCTCGCCATTTTCGTTCCTTTCTCCCAGTCCATGTTGTCCCATGACGTCTTCGTATCCAGTGTTGTCCTTTCCAACCTTGGCATTGAAATCTCCCATCAGAATGGTCAGGTCCTTAGTTGGGCACTTCTCGAAGATCGACTGCAGCCTATCGTAGAATTGGTCTTTAGCGTCTTCACCGTAGTCGTTGGTAGGCGCATAACATTGGATGACGTTCATTGTAATGGCCTCTGTGTTTGTTTTGAAGGAGGCTTTGATGATTCTTGGTCCATGAGATTCCCATCCAATAAGTGCATTTTGTGCTTTTCTGGACAGCACCAATGCAACTCCTTGTGTATGTGGGGCATTTTCTTCTTCATGACCGGAGTATAACAGAAGTTCCCCTGAAGACAGTCGTTGTTGTCCAACCTGCGTCCAATGTGTTTCACTGATTCCAAGCATCTCCAGGTTGTATTTTCTCATTTCTGCAGCAATTTGGAAAACTCTTCCGGTCTCCCACATTGTCCGGACATTCCATGTACCTATAAAAATTGTCGCTCTGGTTGTAAGAAGGTGCATCGACCTCATGACTTCCGAAGGAACTCGGCTTTCACCATGAGACGTCATAGTTATTCCTTCTACTCCCAGGGCAGAGTTTAAATGGTTTGAATGATTTTTTCTGGTTAGCGTTTTTTTAGCGAGTTGATTTTCTACGGGATGGGGTCGCTAACCCCATGCCCAACCCTCCTCCTTTACCCGGGTTTGGGACCGGTAGTAACCCCCAGAGGAGCTACAGGCGGAGTTACAAGGAAATATACTTGACCTGAAATGACCTTTGTTTCTAATGAAGCTACAGATTCGTGCCTTTATTACAAAGGATTTTTGCAGTCTCAAATAATAACAATTGCTGTAAAAAAGTACTCAGTCAGTAGAGACTTAAACCCTATAACTATTTTGGGGATATACAAAATGTCGACCCATAAGAATCTATTCTATTCTTCACATTGCAGATTACATTCTCTACACTACCGATATTACCTTAGGATAGCAGACAAACTACCTCGTTATTTTTTGCCTGAATTCCCCAGTAATCATTTATACTAAAAGGATAAAAAATCTTGTTCAACTAAAATCGTTCCCTACAGAAACTTGCGAGTTTAAACATTCAATTTCGGGCTGTTTAAAATTTTAAGATCAAGAGCTGAATAATGCTTTCGTTGTAGTTTGAGTAGATTCCTAAAAACCTACTATCAAAGGTTAGTATTGGTTTCATAGAAATAAGCGAAATAGTACACACAAAAACTAATCCTTGTACAATTCGTTTTCCTTTAATATACAATATAAAATGCGGTCACTTATGTCGACTAACAGCATCTAACTTCAGCTGGACTGAATCTAATTCGTTAAACAGTTTATTACTGTCAAAACACAAGTCACGTAAGCGTACGAGTAAGTCATTCAAGTTGAGAATGAAATTACCCAAAATGTAGTCCTAATGAACTCAATTTTTAAATATATATCTAAATTAATATAACACTATCCTAGCTACATTCTCTTCCATGCATGCACTTTAATTCTCTCAACTGTTGAACGGGTTTTTGATACTTAATTGGTATGCGAACCAGGTTTCTGATTCAATCAATAGCAGGTCCAATGTACACTCAACCAGAACGAAGTTTATTGTGCTAGAAATATGTACGGTTATGTAAAGAGAAAATGCAAATTGTGTTCCTCCTTTTAGCTTCTTACTGGAAGTTGTTAGTGACTGATTTCCACAACGGTCTATAAGGGATATCGTGTTACTTTTAGAATGAAAAGTTATACATCCTAGTAATTATGCAATTACTTCCGTTGACATTATCTTCGAATTGAGCTCATATATGTTTTTTACTTGTAAATTTGTATAATCATTAGTGAATGATCATACATGTTAGAATAAGAGCATGTTTCAGAAAGACAGTTCTTAAGTCTGTATACACCAGTGAGTTAGTGGTCATGGATGTCTTTTTGTAAGTGCGCACTAGGAATAAATCGTCAAAGTAAGATTGTAACAAATAGTTATTATCATCTTTACGATAAGATGCTGCTTTAAAAACACGTGAATGTCTACTAGTTTGGCCGTCTAAATATGAAATTCGCACTTAACGTTGTCATTGGAACTGCATTTAGAACATCGGAAGAGATTAAAAAACACAACAGCTGGTACCTCGATTCTTTTTTTATTACAATGCCAATTATTTAGATAAAGTAATGCCTAACTAGAATACAGACTAGAAGTACACTTTTTGTTTTAAAATTCGACTTCATACCCGTGAGATTACAGGCAGATGGTATAGTGCCCAGATACCCAAAGGTAAGGTTGTGTGAATTCAGCGCATTAGATAGATAAAGTCAACTGAATAACCATACTTTGGTTTAAACTTTTCGTGTATGATGAGAGAGATTCGGGCTTATTTGATTTGAAAATTCATATCTCTGACAAGACTAACAGTATATTCTTAGGAATACATTTTCATAAACAACGACGTGCATCCTGAGTTCCAAAATTACTTAATATATTTCACTCAGCAAATCAATTATTCTCGAATTATATCGTCTGACCCCCGATTGCTTTTACTACTACTAGTACTATTTCTACCACTTTGGTATTCATCGTGATAATTTTTCTCACTATGCTGATTGATGTTGTGTGGAGATCTATACGAATGCAAGTATATGCTAGGTTCTACGATATTACTTATAACTGAATGCTGAATTTAGGGGCGAAAAAAAGAGTTCATACTGAACGAAACAAAATCAGCATAATCAAGCAATTGATACCGTTCAAGTTTATTCTCCTACTGTCTTTCAGAAGACAGAATAAAACGAAGAACTCCATTATAGCATAATTTATTCGAGAGCTAAGTACCAATTAGAAAGATAACCAAAGTTATTGGAAAAATAAATTACGAAAATATTGTAACTAGGATATTCAAATACATGTTGTGAAACAATAATATATAAAACAATAAGAAACAATCAAACAAATGGCATATAAATATATAAGTATTACTAACTCGGTCCCTTTTTTATTTAAACATTTTTAGCCGAGCCAAACATGAATAACAGCAAACTTCAGAATAGTTTAAGAGATAATAAAAAAAATTATAACTTTCCTATCTCGTCAAATAGAAAATCCCTGGCAGAGGTCGGCTGAACATTTAAATGAAATAGGATATATATTTGAAAAAGAAATATCAGCAGTTATTTATATGAGAAAAATAAGATGGGACTCTAGAGTTGTTTTTATTTTCCAAAAAAAAAACAACAATGGAAAAGTAACAAAAATAGTGAAAGATCAAAATGACAAACAAAATTGAGAAGTACAATAAATCTTCCTAGTAAATAGGTGAATATTCTATTAATTTTGGAGCCCAATGAGTTAATACTTTATTCCATTTATTAGAAAATAAACTTTGGCAAAGGCTTCGATCACGTTCATCAGACCAACCACCATTAACTCGTTGTCTAATATTTTCAGTATGTATTTTTTTTGATAAATGTAAAGATGTTGGATATAATCTAGTCAATAATGGTCCACTAAACATTTGTAAAATATTTGTTGCTAATAACTCTGTTGAGCAACTGGTTTTCTGATGGTGAAGACCTCGGCTAATAAAATAAGTAAAAATAATAATGGCACATTTAAATAGTGTTAAAAGTTGAATTTATTTCTATGGATCTGATATGCTGTAGAACGATTTATTTCCTAATATAATTTGACTACGAACTATATTGTCTCAAGATGAATATTCCGAGAAAGCATAAGTTACAACAAAAAAGAGAATTAGCAAAGATGGATAGTGGCTAGCAGTGGAATCCAGTTTGACGCGCGTTTCGTCCTATTTGGGACTCGTCAGCTGGATGTACATGCATCTCAGAGTTGAGGTTCACTCTGGGACTCGAACCCAGTACCTTTCGCTTCAAAAGCCATCGCGTTATCCACTCGGCCACTGATGGTTTTATATTATACACTCCATGAATTATGAAACAGTATTTATATACTGTACAAATGAAATCAAAAGTAACAAAAATAGTGTGGAGTAGGGTCAAGAAAATGCTACACTTAATTTATAAATACACTGAAGCGTTTGTAAATTGAAGTACTGGAATTAACAACTGTTACATATGCCCTCCTATGATAATAATTGTATCTATGTGAGTTATGAAGCAAGCCAACCAACTGGTAATCAGTTTTTCACAGATACGCTGCAGTCAATACATGTTGACTTGTTACTATGTAATAATCATAGACCTTTCTATGACACAAACATCGGGTAATATCAACTATACCATACATAAAGGGGTGATTTAAGTTGAATGCCGGATTTTGTTAAGACAGATCATAGCATATGGCCAGAAGTTGGGGGTTGAGGTTTATTATGATATGAGTGGTCGTTTACATGCCTAAATTTTTTTACGCATAGTTCTGAATCCATTAGCTGAAACTTGATCATTAGATAGTCAACTGGTTAGTATATATTTCCAGCTTATTATTAATATGGTGAAGATTTTCGTAAAGTGGCGTGATCCTGATACATTTTTTACTTTATATTTTTTAGACTTTCGGAAATAACTATAGACTTTAGTTATGAACTTTTATTCGACCGTAAAAAATTCCATAGTTAGCACACTCTACTGCACTTATAAATAATCAGGTTGAAAGAAAATTCAAGTTATTCATTTAGTTGATTATAATTAATGTACGGTCTGAAATAAATAGGCATTAGCCAAAATTAACAAATTATAATTAAAACAGTTTATTTATTTATTTAAACATAAATATTGGTACAAAGGGGCACCGAACACATATGCGCCAAACCAGTCACTTGATTTGTATGAGGGTTGTGATACTGCCAGGGTGCCCGAACTGAAGCACGTAGTTTTCTTAGAGGGCCACAACCGGAGCCTTCGAACTAAAGATCTGATCCACAAAGCAGTGGAGCATCGTAAGGAGATGCAGTCTCATGGTAGCAGGTGACCAATGATTGATTCATACGCCATTTGTTCCCTCCGGATACTGGAGCCTATGTGCACCATTGGTTTGGAATCAGGGTTTTCCAACTTCCCCAGATGGACTTTCCGTGTCCACCAACCCGGTTGAAGCGCCGGAAATTCGCTTTTCATCCTCTCAATTCCGTAAACAACAGTCGTGCCACACGAAGGCGGTGAGTAGGACTTCCATGACAGAGGCTATATACATGTGACCATGTGAGAGCATTTCGAGAGGGAGAGCGGACTGTCCCGACTCTCGGTCGTACCAGGGCATTTGGAGGCACACTGAGACAGTATGATAAAATTTAAAAAAATGGATGCCAAAAAAGTCGAAATAATATGGTAACACTGTGAATTACTAAACGCTTAGATAATAGCTCAATAAGGTATGTAAGAAGGAATATTGAAACTCAAAATCTAGAGTAAGATAAATAGTGGATGTATTTACTCTACTGTATAGGATTCTTGTTATATCCTAGAGAAGAGATAAGTACGGGTAACTTCTGGAACCTATTAGTGGACGATTTTTCTATATGTATTCTTATTGTTTGACTATTGAGTAATTAGATTGTGTATATCTATATTCATCTTATTATAAGCTTCATTTTGACCTAGGAATTATTATAATACAATTTACTACCCCTAAATTTTATTGTTTATTGATTATTGTATCCCACGTTCACAGTCACAGTTAACTTAATCTTGTACAAATATTATTTTCTATTTTATGGTGTGATGTGGTTTGTCTGTCTGTCTGTCTGGTATATAAACTGAGCATGCTTGAAATAAACGATTCGAATAGCAGAAGCTGTAATTGGTGTTCTGAACTCAATTGGAAGGGCTAGGCGGACAAGGGACCGATAAGGGCGCTGGACTGCTCATACCGGTCGACAACATTGGTTAGCACAGTGCTAAGATTGGAAAAGTCGTATTCCAATTGGTGGATAATTCAAGTGATAAAAAGCCGGACATAAGACCACAACAAATTGGCATACGGCCTTGCTCTTTTTTTTAAATTCATAACAATTCTGAATCATGCTTCCCAAAATCTCCAACGATTGATAACGGTGATCGAGCGGACACCAGTCAAGTAGTTTACACCTACCAAAAAATAAGGTCCGAATAACAACCAATTACCTGGTGGATTATTATCAGGTATCAGCTTGATCATTTGCAGCTATTTTCCAACTTACTTCTATTTCAATCAACACTATATACGTCAAGGTTATCAGTGACTAAGTATATAAATTGGTCGCTACTCAGATTTACTGTTGAATATTAATCATTATTATTAAATAAAATCAGTTTCTATATGAATATTTACAGTTCTGCTTATATAATTTTAATTTGTATTGTGGTGTGGGTTACTGATGTCCACATAAATAGTATATGGTGATGGTCAGACATAGAATGTATTTCAGTAGAAGATCGATAAGGAGTTAACGGGAACGGCTTGCAATTGGTACGAAAATGCATGAACAATTATAATCGGAGACTATGGACGGATGTTTGCAAAAGGAACAGTAAAGATTGAGACAAATGATTGTTATTTTGCAAATTAACTGTTTACTATATGGTTCTCATATTTTAATGAGATATTCTGTAATGTTATGCTTAGATACCACCGATTGTCCCTACTCGTGTTCTTGTTCACTACAGTATATTTACCATTTCAAATAACTTTATTTCTAATTATCAATATTGTCTCAAATAAATATATAGAGTTGAGATCATGAGTCAATTGAAGCTAGACCACCATAGAAAACCTAGAAGCACTGGACGACCGTTTCGTCCTATTATGGGACTCCTCAGCAGTGCGCATCCACGATCCCGCACTCGCGAGACTCGAACCCAGGACCTAACAGTCTCGCGCCAGAGCATGGTAGTCTAGCTTCATTTGACTCATGATCTCAACTCCATAAAATTAGTAAAATCTCCACAAAACCTCTTCTGATAATCACTTAAATATACACAGTGTAATATGACTTATATTTGAAATTCAAACAAAACGATTAGTAAAACGTGCTTTATAGAATATTTATCTAGTTTACTAGTCCATATATTGAAATTTTCTAATAATTTATGCAGTAGTTTATGTATGTATTGGTTATTATATTGTTGAATGATGTTGACAGTGGAACAGTTACTTACCAATAAAATAATATTATGATTCTATTATAATGTCAGGAAATAAAGAAAAGTAAATTGCCGAAGTTTCAGGATTTGGTGTAAATCAATTTGTCAGATATAAATAACTACTTCTGTAAGTTAGCACAATTTTAGTAGTAGTAGTAGTACGAATAATTCACATGAAATATTTAATACATACACACAACTTAAACCATGTGTTTATCATTCTATTGCGGTAGTCATAAAGGATTGACGTGGTGTTGAAAGCATTGAATGCAATAATCATTTAACGCTTAACCGGGGGCTCGTAAAGAGAAAACCAGGCTGGTTTCAGACTAGAACGCTTTTCTTCATGCTATAAAACACAGGCATACATATTAATATTCACGCGACTATTGTAACCAATGTTTGGAGACTCTAGGTGACATGGTTCAGAATTGATCGCAATGGCGCAGGCGTATACACTATTTATCTTCCCTTAAACCATGAGATTAAAATTGTTTCATATCTGTCTTCCCTCTTATACTCTATCCTTATATACAACCTTTCTTTTATATATTAACACCACTAAATTAACTGCGTCCATGTATTCGGTGTTCATCTTGTTGTGCTCGCGAGGTATGGCAACTTGGACCGATGTGTATATGTGCCTGGTCCTACGTCGTAGCTGATTCATTCTCCTCGAATGGTAGTCCCTTTGCTTAGTACTCTCTAATATAATTGATATTACTACTACTATGACATTCATCTCGATAAATTCGTTTCTATATTCTGATGTGGTATAGCAACTTAGACTGATACACATGTGTCAGATTCTATTCTACTTACGAGTGATTGACTCTTATTTAGATCAAAGGTGAAAAGTTTTTGCGTATGTATATGGATTAGTGTGAAAAACCGTAAGATATATAATAATGTGATTAAATCTCAAAAAACAGGACAATTAAAATTTTCTACTTAAACAAGTATTACACTTAAAGATATTTGATGAACGTCTGAGGTCAATGTTCAATATGTTTAAGATATCAAACATTTTGCTGTTCATTTAACAGATGAGTGCTGTATATAAGAGCGTAATTTTCACTCAGAATTTCATTTTAGTAATTTTAAATTATCTACATGTGTCTTCTATTAACAGGCCGTTGTAGCGCACTCCAATTTACCGAATTAAAAAAGCACATAAAGTGAAGATTAAATCTTGAAATAAAATTCTCGATAAAAAAAATGTGCTCTCATATGCAACACTCACTCACTAAGTGAATGGAACAGCCCTCGAAAATGCTTGATACTCCACACATATTAAACACTAAAAAACGGATGCACTGCAAATTCATGGATACCTACACATATCCTATCTCGTGCATTACATCTCTCTCTCTCTCTCTCTCTCTCTATATATATATATATATATATATATATATATATATATATATATATACTAATAACGAGAAGAAATGTTGCAAAACATTACTACTAACCATTCACCCGAATGAAAGACACGAGTAGAAAGAGGTAGAGTCAAGGCCTTCAGTTTGCCTGGGAAACAATTTTGACCAATATACTGTAGACTCCAGTCCCAATTATAATCATCATAAAAACAGAATAACTGAAAAAGAAAATAAAACACAAATGAGTTATTAAGCTCAACACAGGTAGTTTGACACATCTAGAAAAACAATACGACTTGTAAATCTAATAAATCACATATCATTATTATAACCAATGAATAGCTAATAACATGTTCTTTTTTTTTAAAAAGGATAACACACACACATGCGTTACATGCGTTACCATTTAAAGAGAAATGTGTATGCGAATAAAGTTCAACAAATTCATTCTTGTTAGAATGATCGAACATTTTTCTAAAAAAAAATGTAACCCATATTACTGTGACGATCAATTTCCATCTCTCTGTTTTTATTATGTAGATCGATAAGTCAATCGATTCTAATTTTCATTGTAATAGCTATGAACAACTAATATGATGCTCGAATAGAATTATTGTTGTTATTTTTCATTACAAAATAATTGAACTGTCTCAGAGAATCTTGTTTTGTATTAAAATGAAATTTAACAACCGATTGGAACTATTTATACCACAAGGATTTTAACTAGTCAGATTACTATCAGTAGGGGGATTTTGTGGAGATTATAGTAATTTAATAGTTGATTTCATGAGTCAATTGAAACTAGACCACCACGGAAAACCTAGCTGCACTGGACAGCCGTTTCGTCCTAGTATTGGACCTCTCAGCAGTGCGTACTCACAATCCTGCTCGTGAGACTCAAACCCAAGACCTTCAGTTTCGTGCGCGAGCACATGACCTTAATGTCTAACCTCAACCAATTCAACAAATTGCGCCATCGCCAGCTATTGTTTTCAGTGAGTTACTATCTCACAACAGACCCGGTTGAACTCAACTATTATTCAGATTACAACAATCCACTCACTATTCAACACCTAGTTAAACAAACAATATGCTCCTCCTAATTACATGAGTACAATTTCTTGAGCAAAGACAGGTTAACCGATTCAATTATTTGTAAATATTTATAATTATTAGCAAAGACAGATAATGGTTAGCAGTGGAATTCAGGACGCGCGTTTCGTCTTATTTGTGACTTGTCAGCAGCTAGATATACCTGCATCTCAGAGTTGATGTTCACTCTGGAACTCGAACCCAGTACCATTCGCTTCAAAGACCATTGCGTTATCAGTTAAAGTCCTAAACATCAATGGGAAGATTCAATCAAACAATACCAAGTGAATTTACAATTATTTCCTTAAATTCTTATCGGTAGAGGTTAAGAATTTCAATCACCGGCGGATAGATTTCAGTCTTGATTATCGAGTGAATGTGGGAGAATTGTATACTAGACCAATAGCCGTTGAGTATTATTTTCGGGAGTTAACTCACTATCAACGTGTCATTAGTTATAAGAACGTAATCGGTATCGTATGAATTATCTAAACGAATTAATCAATACTCGCATTAGAGCATATAATTGCTCGCCTGTAATTATAATCCGATTACACAGGGCCTCAATGTAACTCAAGAATTTGTTTTTGTTTACTGTCATATCATGAATAAAAAGTTTCAGAATTTTGAAATTTGTGAAATTATCAAGGCGTCAAGTAAATTAATTGAGAAGCCAAGACTGGTAGATTGCAAAATAAAAACAGAACTCGACCCCACAATTAGTCGTTTAGATAATTTGAAATTACAAATACAGGAATGTTTAGCTTAAAAGTAGCACGAGAAATCTTTGAATAAATTCGATTGTGATCGTGTATATCTATTAAAAGCATATATATATATATTTCTAAAAATATGTTATGTAAATACATTGATGTCACGTACAACGATAAAATGTCCTATTTTACATAACTCACGTTCAAGCATTGTTCAATATTTTTCCAGACAACACGAGATACAGCCATACCCATATTGTGTTTCGGTGCAAGCCAGTAAGTTAGCGCAACCTAGAAAAACGAAACAAATACCAATGTAATTTATATGTTCACATGATTAGTGTAATTTAAAGTTGGTAATACTTGAAAGTATTGAACAGGGTTTAGTACTGTAGATATTGTAACATCTATACAATTAATATTTAAAAATTTGGAAAAGAAGTTTCAATAGCAGGATTTTGATCAATGTTAGACCACGATTGAAAACTTGGAAGAACTGGACGGCTGTTTCGTCCTAGCACGGGACTCTTCAGCAGTGCGCACCCACGATCACTCGCGCGGGATTCAAACCCAAGAACTTCGGTCTCGTGCACGAACGCCTAGCTACTAAACTAGTGAGCCGCCACCCAACGGTTTGATGACAGTAATCTTCTTAAATCTTTAGGAAAAGGTTTTAATATTATGTATGCAAGTTTGAGCGATTCATGATGAAGTTAAGGAGTTTGGAAAAAAATTGCTAAAATTCATAGATAGCCCATACGGCGATAAATTATAGAACTAATGCTGAAGTTACGTAACTGTTTAATTAGCCAAACAATATACACAAACAAAAACAAATTGTTGCCTTAACTGCATTGAATGAATTAAAGATCATGTTACTGCGTCGGAAAAGGGTTGTGTTTTTTATATGACTATATGACACAATGAAGAAACTGGCGGGGAGAGAGAGACCAGTCAAGGACAGGGAAGGAAAACCAATCACTGAAATTATAGGACAGAGGAACAAATGGGTAGAACACTTTGAAGAACTCTTGACTAGACCAGCTTAATTGAATCCACCAGACATCGAAGTAGCGCCTACAGACATTCCTATAGCTATCAGTCCACCAACGATCGAAAAAATCAGGATGGTCATTAGAAAAATCAAGAGTTGGAAATCAAAATGAACTGACAATATACTAGCTGAAGCACTGAAGTCAGACATAGAAGTAACTGCAAAAATGCTCCAGGTTCTATACAGAAAGATTTGGGAAGAAGAATAAGTACGGACATATTAGAAAGAGGGATACCTCATCGAAATACCAAAGAAAGGAGATCTTATTAAATGTAAGAACTACGTAGGCATCATAATACTATTACAATCAGGTAGTTTTCAACAGTGTCGCCGAACAGAATGAAAGATACAGTAGACACCCAACTTCGAGATCAACAGACTGGCTTTCATAAGGACCGATCATGTTCAGGTCATATCGCTACAATTTAGTTTATTGTTGATCAGTCAAATGAATAGAACTCATCACCAAAAATCAACTTCCTTGACTATGGGAAAGCATTTGACAACGTGAATCAAAAAAAATTATGGGCCTTCTTCGACACTATGGAGTACTCGAGAAGACTGTCAATACCATACGGAATTCTTATGATGGACTACACTTCAAAGTCGTGAATGTGGTACAGCAAAACAGATGCATTCCAAGTGTCAGATAAGCCTGATTACTCTCACCTTTTCCTTTTCTTTTGTTGGCTGACTGGATTACGAAGACTTTTACATCTCAGGGGTAGCACGGAATATAATGGACAGTTTGGATGCAGTTAGAGGATATGGACTTCACAGAAGACCTAACCTATGTATCACATACACAACAATAAATGCACGAGATGAGGATAGCCAGTTTAGCAGCAGCCTCTGCAACAGTAAACCTATACATTCGCGACCGAAAAAGTAAGATCACAGAGTAAGTAAGAATACCGAGCATCAACCAGATGACTGTTGATGGGGAAGTTCTGAAAGAAGTGAAAAGTTTTACGTTCCTGGGCAACATACTTGATAAAATAGGGAGATCAGATGCAGATGTGAAAGCACGGATTGGCAAAATAGAAGAACCATTCTTACGACTGAAGAACATCTGGAAATCGAAACACCTGTCAGACAACATCAAAGTCCAAACTTTCAATACAAATGTTATGACAGTACGATTATACGGTGGTAAGACGTGGAACACTACTATAAACATCATCAAAAAAGTATAGGTATTCATAAACAGTTGTCCACGAAAAATACTCCAGATCAGTTAGCCAGACATCACCAGAAATTAACTACTCTGACAGAGAATAAACAAGCTTCTAGCTGAGTAAGAAACTAAGAAAAGATGCTGGAGGTGGATAAGTCACACTTTACGGAAATAATCAAAGTGCATCACAATACAATGCTTAACTTGGAATTATCAGGACAAAAGGAAAAGATAGACAAAAGAATACATTGCGCAGGGAATCAGAGGAGGACATCAAAAAGATGAATACCACTTGGGAACAACTAAGAAACAGAGCCCAGAACAAAGTAGGCAGAAGACCCCTGATCAGTGGCCTATGCTCCATGAGAGGTAACTAGAATAATTAAGTACGTAACTACTACTCAACCACCGCATACTTTTGCGTGTACCGCTGGCTAATGTAGAAGTAAATTGGAAGAAAGCTAGGGGAGACCAAACAATTAGTTTATGAATTCTTTGAATGTTCATCTGAGCCATGTTAGTAAGTACAAGCTGCTCGGTTAGTACCAACGCCATTGTCGTGACCAGTGGTTAGAGACATTAGGTGACATGGCTTAAAATCATGTGTAATGGTGTAGATGCATTCATCCCGTTTTTCTTTAGTTTTAAAATTATGCTATACCTTGTAATCTGTTAATTTGTCCATTATTCTCGAATCAGGTAGCTTATGTCTAGTCTTCCCTATACCGCTGATCCCTTCATCTTACACAAAGATAGACAATATTAGGGATCTATTCCGAAAATAACAGTAGAAAACTGATCAATATTATTACCAGAAAAAATCAGCTTATTAAATTAGATGATGATTATTTTAAAAGAAAAAGCAAACATTGAAATAGATACCATACTTACCACATTGGATAAGTAGTTGCTATCTTTATCGTATGACCCAAGTGCAATAATTCCATCCGTTTTTAAAGGACTTTTTAAAAGAAATAAACGCAATCAAATATAATCGATCATTTTACAAACAATTCTGTCTATTGAATATAATAACTTAAATAACGTACATAAACTTGATAAAAATATTTAATAATGACGAATATGTCGGACAGAAAAACACATGAGAATATGGAACGATGGCATCATGGTTAAGGCGTTCAGCTTTCAGCGAATAAGTTCCAAGTTCAAACCCTACTCTATCAACCATAGTCTAAGTTACCAGGTAGTAATATTTGCCCTCACAATTACAGTGTGGTTCATATATAAGTAGCTGGTGAATGAGTACAAACAAATAAGTGAGAATAGAACAAACCATATGATAATAAGTATGTCTGTCGACATAAGTAGCACATAACACCAATCAGATGCAGAAAACCTGACAACAATGGGCCAAGATCAAATTGAGGAAAACATAAAGGAATTTAGAATTGGAAGAATCATAAAGAACGTGAACGTCAATTGATGAAAGATTTGCAAATGAAGTATTTAAAGTATGATTCTTATATTTTATCAAGGTATTCTGTAATTTTGTATAAAACAATGAATAGGTTGTCCACACCCAAGTCTCGTTCATTACACCAGGACAGAGTGCACATTCATGTACTTAATAACTACAAAGTTGATCAATACATCATAAATGAATGATAACAGTTAATGAATTGATATAATATTATTTCCAACCCCTGCGAACAATGAGTATTGTATCCGTCAATAACATTAAGATATTCATATCTCAACATTTATAAAGTACTTGATATATATATATATATATATATATATATATATATATATATATATATATATATAGAGAGAGAGAGAGAGAGAGAGGCTAAAAATGATATTATGAATAAAAAGGTATATTGAAAGGACAATATAACACATCATGAATCAAAAAGCCTGATGATGAAAAAGAGATACTTCTAAATTATTTGAAGAGCTTTTGTGTAGACTGATTTAAATTTGTACGTATTATTTATATCAGATTGATAACATTTAGTGTATCATTGAGAAGTATAGAGAATCTAATAGTTATTTGGTATTATTAAGGAACTATTTAGCCGTGTGTAGGTGCAACTCTAGGACCTTTAGGTTCCACACTGAACGTTGAAATCACTAAAACTACTGGATTAAAGTCCGACGGTACAATCCCAAATGTAACCAATTTGTGCAACGACCATCCAAAGTCATTAATGACAAATGTTTCGTTACCGACTTGTCTGAACTCCACTCGTCACAATTTCTTACCAGAAGAATCCCAAAAACACCTTGAAGTCACTAGTGTGTTCACCATAGTTTTGGCAGTACAGGGTTGTGGGGATTGTTGGATTTCATTGAAATCACAAGTCAAAATAAGTTAGACAATTGTTGAAAAATCGAAAGCACAGAACGGTAGTTTCATCCTACTACGAGATTCATTAACAGTACACATCCACGACCGCGCCACCAGGGATCGAATCCAGGACTTTCGGCCTCAGACGAAAATCCTTGAACAGTGGAGCTAAAGTGTGATGGGTTTGAAGGCACTTACCGAACACAATAGAAGATGGTCACGCAATATCGTGAATTGACTTATTTAAGGCTTTTACTCTGCTACGTTTGAAGCGATTACGAGTTCAACTAGTCTGCGAACGGAACAAAGACTTGTGACCAAAGATTAATAGGCTCGCTATTCTGATGTGTCCCAGCCCCGCTAACCAGAGAGAGAAGTCGAAGTCCGAATGGGGAATAAATATATATTCCGCATGCAGCCAGAAGCACAAGCGATCCAACAGGCACAAATTAGACGTATATACACAACATAAAAGTGTCTTTGGGAAGCGTTACAAAATAGCATACTAAAAGATATAACGGACCAATAGCGTTTAGGATTTTCCCGAGTGGGAGATAAAACACGAAGGTGAGAAGAGCGCTTTTGGCCCGAAAACAAGAAATTTCGAAATTTCAAAAATAAGGGATTTACTAAGTGAGTTTTGGGGATCTAACATCCCCAACATAGACTATTGGATCCTAGCTCAGTGGTCTAGAGGTCAAGCGTTCGGCCCTCAAATGCCCTGAAACGGCCGGGAGTAGGGAGGGCCCTCCCCCTCGAAATGCTCCCACACGGTTAAGCGTATACAGCCTCTTCTATGGAAGTCCTACTCACCACCTTCTCGTGGCACGACTGTTGTTTACGGAATTGAGAGGATGAAAAGCGAATGTCCGGCGCTTTAACCGGGTCGGTGGACACGGAAAGTCTATCTGGGGAAGTTGGAAAACCCTGATTCCAAACCAATGGTGCACATAGGCTCCAGTATCCGGAGGGAACAAATGGCGTATGAATCAATCGTTGGTCACCTGCTACCGTGAGACTGCATCTCCTTACGATGCTCCACTGCTTTGTGGATCATGCCTTTAGTTCGAAGGCTCGAGGTATGGTCCTTTAAGAAGACCAAGTGCTTCGGTCTGGGCACCCGGGCAATATCATAGCCCTCACATAATTAAATGAAATGACAATTCTGTGTGTGGCGCATATATATCTGGTGCCCCTTTGTACCAATATTGGTGTTCAAATAAATAAATAAACAAAATAAGCGTTCGAGTGCGAGATCGAAGGCCCTGAGTTCGATTCCCATCTTTATGATCATGAATATGCATTGCTGAGGGTTAACACAGAAGGAGAAAGCGGTGATACAGTGCTTCCAGGTCTTCAATAGCTGTTTAACATAGATCGGTTCACGACTTCAATGGATATTATGGTTTTATTTGAAAGATTTTTGTAGTGATTTGTTTAATTCACAGTCGGTATTTTGAACCATATTTAAAAAAATGGAAATCATATTTTATTTTCATAACTATAATTAATTCCTTTCTCATTTTATTAACTCTTATAAACAACAGGCATTTATTAGTATAAAATTAAAACGAGGCAGTTAAGTTCTCAATACGAACAAAAAGTATGAAAACTATGCCAAGTTAATATTTCTATCATTTGACTTCAATGATCAAATATATAGATCAGATAAGACTTCATTCCGAAAGACTGTAAACATTAAATACAAGGTATGCTACAAGATAACCGCTAAAAAAATAACATTAAAAAACTATAATTTAATCTTCTTTTTACAATAAACTAACCAAAATATGAACTCGTCAAGTAGTATAATAATCAACAAAGAAATAATAAGGGTTGAGCTTGTCATAATTTGCATAAATTTGTTGACGCGCATGTTTGAATCCGTGCAAAAATATTTACTGCCTTCATTTCACCTACATACACAGTAGAGTGTTACGTAATTAGTAAACGATAGTTGTTCATCGTCATCATTATATGCAACGTAGAACCTGATACATGTGCTTCAGTTCAAGTTGTCATATCACATTAAGACGAAATGAAATTACTTCAAAAAAAAAATTCCATAGAAGTAGAAGTAGCAACAGTATCAGTAGTAAAAGATCAGATATAGAAAAAGGTAAAAAGGAGATTTTGAGACTCAGGTTTTAGAGGAGGACAAGCAGTGAATGCACTAGCACCCTTGCAAACGATTTTGAGGCTTGTCGCCCAAAGTCTCTAAACATTGGTTACGATAATCACATGGAACCCAGCCAGGTAGCATAAACACAGAATAAACACGATGTCTTAGGCGAGTGGGGGAAATTAGCACATAGGTTGCTCATACTACAACTAACTAAGACTTCACTGTTAGGCCTAATCTTTGAGCATCGTACCAGTTATCTCTAAAAGGGTGTTTATGACAAAGTTTAAAAACGTGAAGAAAGTGGACAACCCTGAAGAACATCACATGAAGTTATCGATTCCAAAAGTGGCTCTGACTAGACAAATAGTGTTCCAGTGGAGATCCTGTACAAGGTTGATGTGCTTCTTTGGTAAGTCTCTTAATGACAGACACTGACATAGAACCCCATGATCAACAGAGTCTAATTTTATCTTAAGATCAAGGAATACAATTATTGTCGAACGTCGAAAAATATGTCTGAGTTCAGAACCTATCAAAGACTAAATATTCAGACTACATATCCACGTTTAAGTCTGAAAACAGACTGAGTTTTTCGATTTTACTCTTTATGAGCTCTCGTTGAGCAATGGCGTGTCATTGAAGTTAATATTTTAGACACTATATTAGTCAAATTGATTTGTCTGTGATTGATACAATAGGATTTTTTCTCTTCTTATGAAGTGGGATGATCAGCGATCTAGATCAGTCATACATATATTCATTTGTAATAACTTTGAAAAAACTTACCTCCAAACATTTTTACTGATCAACTCCGATACATGTAAAATATCTTCCACAACAAAATGATCCTCTTCTAATAAGATGAAGTAACCCTCATAATATTTTGTTGGATAAAAATGATTCATTACGAATTCAATCTGATGTAGTTTTTTTTTTAAAAAAAGAAAAGACATATGCATTAAACATAAGTTTATAAGCATTAAGTTTTTCGAAATAATAAATAGCTATGAGTTACATTTAGTCATATAATCAATTATGAGTTCATTAATAGATACTATAAAGGTTAATCTTAGGAATGATTAAATATATATACATCTAAAAATTTATTTATCTGAAAACATAAATATTGATACAAGGAGGCAGCAGATATATATGCGCCACACAAATCTCATTTGATTTGTATGACGGCTGTGATACTGCCCGGGTGTCCATACCGAAGCAGGTGATCTTCTTAGGGGGCCACACCCGAAGCCTTCGACCTATAGGTCTGATCCACAAGGCAGTGGAGCATCGTGAGGAGGTGCAGTCCCATGGTAACCGGTGAACAACGATTGATTCATAAGCCATTTGTTCCCACAGGATACTGGTGCCAATGTACACCATTGGTTTGGAATCAGGGTTTTCCAACTCCCCTAGATGGACTTTCCGTGTTCAGCAACCCGGTTAAAGGGTCGGATATTCATTTTTCATCCTCTCAATTTCGTAAACACCCACGCCACGAGAAGGCATTGAGTAGGGCTTCCCTGGCGGAGGCTATATACGCGTAGCCATATGAGAGCATTTCGAGAGGGAGAGCGGACTCTCCCCACTCTCGGACGTACCAGGGCATTTGGTGGCTTTAAATAATGTTGGAGACAACAAAATACTACTATTTTGTCATTAAGTTAACAAGAAAAAGAACTCTTTTAATATATTATTCATCAAACAATAATCACTGTAGCTCGTCGATCAAACACAAATTCATGTACTCAAGGTTCTAAGTTACATTTTTATGTATATAAAAATTGGTGATATGATTCAGTTGATCAAATTGAAGTGGGTGAAACAAGACACAAACGCCTACTAACCTAACTGGGTGAACGCCCTAACCGCTAAACAAATGGTTCTACCACCAACAATAGTAACTATTATTTAGGTGATTATGTTGTAATGATTAGCCCAATGTGAATATCTCTGCTAACCATGCTTGTGAATTAAGGTATATCGAGGCAATATGCACAGTATGCACATATGCCAATTAGAGACTGACCAGTTGCAGTCCTAACAAATCGATGGGAAGATTCAAACAAACAATACTAAGTTGAATTCAATGTGACTATAGTTTTCATTGCAGATTGATGGTAACTGAAGAATCATTGTCAGTCATGGAATATTAGATTTGAACTTGAAAGTGTAAAAGACCGTAGATGTTCGATTTTAAAAAAAAGGGTGAACATTACCCTGGGTTTGAACTATTCATAACTCATACTGAAAACCTTGATGCGTTTGAAAAAAACTAATTTAATCAAGTTGCTATTTCCATAAATACCTTTTTGTGTCTCATGAAATTCTTGAGTTTTTGTGCTGATAATTCTATATTACACCAAAAATATAATAATTAATAAAGCCATTGATAATAATAATTCACTAGTTGCACCAAAAATCTTAATGTCTTAGATGGATAGTAGCTAGCAGTGGAATGGAGGACGCGCGTTTCGTCCTATTTGGGACTCGTCAGCTGGATGTACCTGCATCTCAGAGTTGATGTTCACTCTGGGACTCGAACCTAGTGCTGTTCGCTTCCAACACCATCTCGTCATCCACTTGGTTACGGAGGCCTCATAGCCACCTGCTTGTGCAATGGAGTGAAGTTATATTCCCTCAGTGTTGTTGACTTGCATCTTTCATTGTTATTTAAGACCGCAATTGATCAGTCTCTTGCTGGCAGGTACGTCCAGCTGACGAATCTCAAATATAACGAAACGCGCGTTCTGGATCCCACTGCTAGTCATTATCTATCTTTGCTTATAATGCTTGCCGTTTAAGGCAATATCGAGGCAGTCTGTACAGGATGCACATATGCCAGCAAGAGACTGATCAATTGCAGTCCTAAGTAACAATGGGAAGATACAAGTCAACAGCACCAAGTGAATCTTATTGTCTTAGCTTGAAAATATATACACTTTTTTAACATATATCATCGTTATTAATCGTAAAATATGAACTGAATATTAGAAAAACAAAGCAAAAACAGTATCCACTGTTTTATCACCATAGTAACCAGTATCCTCATCACAAATTAGTTCAGGTTATAATGTACTTTGACAAAATAATAGATAGACGAAATTTCTTACACGAAAGAGTCACTTTTTATCTTCTGAACATTTTGTATACAGTTTCTGATTAATAAACAACCACGAACAACCCATTAAACAGATCAGCCTTAATTAGTAGTTAACTTAAGTTTATTTGACTGAAATTTTCCATGAAGCATTTTGTTTAGAATCATTTCATCAAAAACCAATTGGGTTAACCAACTTTTTATTATTCAACATATAGTGGTTATAACAATACAGTTTTCAGTATTGTGAACAACAACCAATCAAATTTCACTTTTGGTGGAATAAGTGGTTAATGAATTGTGAAGAAGTTTCTATTACCCCACTCTTTAAATTAAGTACTGAAGATGTTTAAAAAACAATGAAAACTTCAGACAGTCATTCAGTCTCAGTAACGCTGAGCCTGGCACAAATGTGTTTTCCCATACCACTAAAGAACAAGAAGGTGAGAATTACAAAACGAATAGTACAAGCGATGAAATAATATTGCATCAATGATAACGAGGAAGAATAAAGTCATAATATGTTTGGAAAAGATGGAGAAATACTGGAAAACAAGATAGAGAAGGTAAGAAGCGACTGCATCTACGTCATTGTGAACGATTCTGATCCATGTCACCGAAAGTCTCGAGATAATGACTGAGGTAATCCCACAGACTCGATTCCAAAAGTCAGCATCTGCCAACAGTTCTCAAACTCACAGTCAATAATTACATAGATCAGTATCGTGTTTTGGTTTACCCGTCCCTAGATTTCTTTCAACGAAATTCTATACCTCTAAAATCTTTATCCTCAGCCACAAATATTTTCCATCATCTGAGTCCAAATTTACTGTAAGATAAAAAGCGCACTAGCTTAGGAAAAAGTATACTTTTGTCAGGTAAACCTGACTGATAACACTCCCAGATGTCAAAATAATGGAAATAAACACCCTGAAATGAATGAAACATTTGTCGCATATATACTGTAAAATTTTCTGATTGATTTACGTCAGTTTTTTAGAAAAATTGGAGAAGTTAAATGTTACGAGATTCAATTGTCTTTATTTTGTATCTTATTATTATAACTTGTGGCCGAGTGGATGCCTTGTTAACGTATGATGTGATAAGACCGCCGATCAGAGAGCAGCAAATTATCGATTGGAACAGTAACGCACGAAAACCGTACGAGCAATCTAGAGTGCATATTGGCCCTGCTTTCTGCCAAGCCCATCCAGTTAAGTCCAGAACACCAATAACAGCCTCTGCAATATGAATCATTATTCTCAAACATACTGGGTTTATATACCAACCAAACAGACCACATCGTACCATAAAATATAAAATAACATTTGTACAAAATTTGGCCAAAAGTGGCTGTGAATCGGAGGAACAGTAATCAACAGACTGGGGATAACTCAAGAATGGTAAATTGTATAATAATAGTCTGTAGATCAAAATAAAGTTTATGATAAGAGGAACACAAATATGAATAGTTTAGTTACTTAACAATTATACAATAGGAAATATACATATTACATTGGTCCATAAATGGATCCCAAGGTTACCATTCACTATTGTTATCGAGACATAACATACCTCCCCTTTTTTAAAAAGATCCAGAGTTGATATCCGGATTTTAAATTTCCTGAATGTATCCTCCCCCACGAAATAGCGTTGAATCCTCATATTCCAAAGTTACGTTTAATGTGACTCTATGTATAACATATTTCTCGCATTCCATAGAGAATCTGCTAGAACTGACTAGATGTTGAGGATCTTAACATTTGTTGTGAGGTCAGAGTTTGATTCTGCTGAAATATAGTCATCAAATTTATTAGGAACGTCACTAGTAGATAGTGGATCACTATGATAATCAGCGTCCATCAAAACTGCACTAGGTTCTAGATTATCATTTGATACATGTGACATATCTTTTGGTAAAACATGAGGATCACGACAATGAGATTCGTTAGAAATTTTCATTGCAGAATAATGAGGTCCATTCCGTGAAGCTGCATTCGGTGTACTGCTCGATTTGATCTCTGTTTCTTCATGGGCGCTTGCTGCGACACTTTCACGAACGTTTAGTGCGGCATCATCATTATGTGAGCTGAAAACGTCACTGTTCACACATGCTGTTTCGGGGATAGTGGGGTTTGAATCCACGGGCATGTTTCTGAATTGGACAGTAATGGACCATTGGGCGTATCTTAAGTGACTGCTGTTTCGTTTAGATTACAGTTTGTGCAGGATTCATAGAGGCTGCGATCATTTTCCAGCTGTGTGCAATTCAGAGATTAATTCATCCAATTTCGACGCATATGCAAGGTATTGGTGATTCAGCAGCTGCGTGTGTAAATTGACCATGAACTTCAAGTGTCGCTCGAACAGCAACTGTAATCGATCGGAAGGGAGAGTCATTTTTTACAATATGACTAATGACCAGTGTCGTTCAAGGACAGCAACGACAATTCTGGATGCTGATTGCACGAAGTAATTACCTGATTTTCGACCAATGGTAGACTGACTTTGGTTCAACTTCTTTTAACACCGTCGCCAATTGTTATTGGGACATAAAACGTGTAGAACAGTGTTTTAAAGTGAGTATTTGGTGTTTGCTTTGGGAGTTTCGCCTACTACACTAAATCCTATTTTAATTTGTTTTCCCTTATTTTTAGACGTAAATGATTTGGAATGTGTTCTTCATTAAGCTCAGTATACGACCACAAGTTATCATCATATCAGATGACAACAATAAAGTAAAACAAATAGCGTGAGGGAATTTTTAGAAAGGTCGAAATTAACTAGCAACTAAATGGTACACTGTAACAATCAATTTCGGTGCTTGAAACATTAAATTATGACTATGATATGGAGACTAATAACATATAAATCAGCTGAAAATAAAGAATTAGGTAAAATAACAATTAGGTTAAGAGTCCATGTTTAAAAACCTAGTACAAAAGGAATAAAATCGCTACTTTAAGAGGTTAGGGAGTCAGTTGGTCATGTTATGTAGAACCTGGATTACAAGTGCATCGATTTGTGTTGACACAACACATTAGTACACCGAGCTGAAATTATTAAGATGAACACTAAAAAGGTAGTATTAGTGGTAGTAAAAAAATTAAGACAAAATGATTCGAGAAGAACGAATTAATTAATGAAACAAAAATAATTTTGAAACTCAGGATCTAAGAAAATTCAAGGAATGAATACATCTTAGACATCTCATCCAACATCTTCAACCTTTAGAGTCCCAATAATTGCACGGATCCATCAATCAACTAGCCTACGCGGACCAACATATCTCCAATAAAGTCAATGATTGCATCAACCGATGATACATTTTTGTTTAGGTATCTCTATCTTTCTCTAAATCTACTCTTACCTTAGTTAATATTGAGGGTTAAGGTAGACGGTTGTTGGGCGTAGGTAATGTATCCCAAACACTTCAATTGGGAAAGATCGACAATCTTATGAACAGTTTTATCATTTTTGTATGGTACCCTACGCCTAATCTCAGCACTGTTTACTGATAAATTCAAAACACAGACGCAATAATGAAACCTAATATATGTACCGAATTAATAACGGAGACTGTTCAAGTTATCTTAGATTATAAACCTATACAATCCCCGGAAAATTTTAGACAGTATCCCTTAGCTTCTATTTTCAAAACCTTTTCATGAAATCTTATAGTTATATACTTATAATTAGACTGTAAGAAGCGAGAAAACTGTGGCAATAATCAAGACTTTTGTGAATTTCAGAATGATTTAAAAACATCGAAAACGTGAAAACTTTAAACGAAACGATGGTGCTGTATAGGAAACATACAGTAATCAATACACGATCACTTTTGTTGCCAGAAGTAGTACACAACGAAAAGACAGCAACTGACTGAAACAATACAAATACATGCATACAAATGCTGAATAAATTAAATAAGAGTCAAATGCCAACTGTTAATAAATAAGAGGATAATTCTTACTAAAAAAGAGAACAACACGAATTAAAGATTTATCACATTTTTCAACAGTATCGACGTCACTCAAAGAGAAACTAGAATACAGGAAAGAATGAACCACTATCTTGCTACACATTGGGTACACAAGTTTATGAGCTTCCTGAAAGTCGAATCAAGAGAAATTATCCAAACTGGACAGAAACTACTACAAATTCATGTTGTCAAGGTCCCCAACCAAAAACTCAATACACAAGTCAAGAAGACTTACTTTCCACAACCAATGATTCTTAATTTGGGTAAAACGTGATTCACGATAATGCTGAAATGTGTCTGGCCAACGAGCATTTAAACATTCTATATTTCTAGCTCTGAAAAAAGTATAAATGACAAAATTATATATATATATATATATATATATATATATTCCAGATGCTATTCATATTGTCCAGGAAGACAATTAAAGCTCTGAATAAGGTCAGCCAGCTTAGATAATGCAACACCATCGAAAATATCGACATGAACTACCACGTTTCCGACACTATTTGAGGTGCTTTCGCTTAAATAATAGCAACTTATCTAACAAATCCAATCCCATGTTATAACTCAGGAAGAGAGAATAACATCATCTTCACCTTCCTATTGCTACCATGATGAAAAATACGTTCAATCTGTTTCATACTGGGACAAAGCAAATACTCAGTTTTCTCTAGATTTTGATCGTTTATAGTTGAATCCAGAGCATAACATAAACTAAATATTAGTTTTCTTTACAAGACTCGTATGTATAGTTCCATTTATCATCTTGAAAAGCATAAGAACAATGACTTGAGAAGAGTAACTGTAGTATTTGTACAAACTGATGATTCCTATGTACTTGATTCCGCGCTTATTACGAATTATAAATATAATACGTTCGTTTGTGCTCATCCAGTTCCACCTGCCTAAAATGGACTATTTAGGGGATTTTTAGTTAGCATGTTAATTCGAATACTTCCAATTATAATAGTAACATGAATTTTGTTTATTCTGTTCGGTTCTTGTCATCTGCTAACAATCTATTTATTTATTTATTTATTTAAACACATAAATATTGGTACAATGAAGCACCAGAGAAATATGCGCCACACAAATCTCATTCGACTTGTGTGAGGGCTGTGATACTGCCCAGGTGCCCAGACTGAAGCAGGTGGTTTTCTTAGGGGGCCACACCTCGAGCGTTTGACCTGAATGTCTGATCCACAAGGCAGTGGAGCATCGTGAGGAGATGCAGTCCCATGGTAGCCGTTGACCAATCACAGGTTCGTCCGCCATTCGTTCCATCAGGATACTGGAGCCCATGTGCACCATTGGTTTGGAATCAGGGTTTTCCAACTCCCCCAGGTGGACCCTCCGTGTCCACCAACCCGGTTAAAGCGCCGGACATTCGCTTTTCGTCCTCTCACTTTCGTAAACAACGCCCCCGCCACGAGAAGGTAGTGAGTAGGACTTCCCTGGCAGAGGCTATATATTCGCTGGCCATACGAGAGTATTTCGAGAGGGAGAGTAGACTCTCCCCACTCTCGGCCGTACCAGGGCATTTGGGGGTGCTAACAATCTATAGTCTTTTTAAATTAAAACTGTACAGAAGTTAACATACTTATACTAGTGAAATTGATTGGAAGTGAATATGTAATATCACGGTGGAGCAAAGATTCAGATATGGTTAGTAAGACTAAGAATAACCTTACAAATAAATAAAATATTCCGGGAATCGACATCTGAATAATGTACATTCTTCTTGAAGTATGCTGCCAGCAACCTTAATGTCTCTGATTGTGCTCTTTCCTAGCTTGTACAGCAAAAGGTCGTGGACTTCTAAGAAACGCACTTGAATAGGTTGAGCAATTAATTGACATAATGATCTGTTGAAACAAACAAAAGACAGATAATTTGAAGTATCTATATGGAAGGAACAGGTAGCCCAGATATTCAAGCAGGTCGCCATCAATTTACACTTTGCAAATGACTAATTAAGAAAACCTTCAACATTCCAGGCGACCCTGAATGCTATTATTATTTTTATTGATCAAATAAACAGAACGAGGATAGTTCTGTTTTCGGTGACTTCATCCGCAGAGCTTTACAATGGTCAAAAGTCAGGGATAATTGGAAGGATAAAATCTAAAGTATGAACAAATTGACTTACTCAGCGGGTTTTATTCTACTATCACAATCTCTTGGATCAGTACCAGGAAAGGTGTCTGGAAAGATTTGCATTGAATGGGGATAAAAGATTTGAACAGTACGCGTGAAGCGAATAGATCCAATAAGACTATTCAACTCATCAGAATAGAAATCATGTGAAAAGATAACAAGGGCTGTTTCAATTCCTTTTGTACGTCGTAACGATTCAATCAACAGACTTAACTCTATGGATCTATTATGAACCTGAACAAAAAAACACCACATAATTAGAAGCTACACTGATTTGAATAAATAATGATGGAAACATTGGTAGGATCTCAATAAGCTAAATGTAATCATTTTTACCGATTTTAATTACAGTCTTTGAAAACACGACTTAAAAAAGTACATTTCCTTAATAGATATTCTAAAGTGTTTGAAAGCTAACTTGACAATAGCTATTTCAATTTCAATATCGGTACAAGTTTATCAAACAAAAACAAATTGCGTATGACCGAGAGAATAAACTGTGCTTCCAAATGGAATGAATAACATATGTAACGTAATAACGTGTGATCGATTGTTGATAGTGTAGTGAAATGGGCTTGATATAAGTCCTTTCACTATCAAAGAGTCTCACGAAAATTATTTGAAACTCTAAAATAAATTACTGTTTATTGAACGATGCTTTCTAAAAGATGTTATCCAGCATACAAAGCTGAAGAAACAACGTCACTTTACAAAGTGATGGAACAACTAAAACAAAAACTAAACTGAGGATCAACTAAGAACAGTGTTACGCTTGCTAATAAACAACTGATCTCGTTGGTTGCAGACATAACCGGTCTACTGTTAATCCAAGAAGAAATAAATTCATAGTACTCTCCTTTAGTAAGATCACTTGGTCTTAACCAGGTAAAAAAAACCTTTTGTGAATATGCCTTTGAAAGTATCTAAATTCAGAATCCTTGTTTCTTTCAACAGAAAAATATCAATTAGTAAGAAATTCATACCCAGATTATATTGACATGAATTACAATAAGCAATTATATTCATCATCACATGTCACAAAATGAGAAAGTGACAATCGAACCGTTTTAATTTTTAAGACATTTATTCAATCATTGATTTTTATTTAAATACTATCTCATTTAACGCAACTAGTTTATCGAATAGAAAATAGTGTGGTAAGCCTACAAACACACTGTATGGGGGGGGGGTAATGGCTAATGATAATACTACTTAGTTGTTTGTTTGAATTTCTATAACTTATTTATTGTGGACACTGCAAAAAAAACACTGCACCGTTGTTACATAAGTAAATAGTGGTTGTTTGACTAGCCGCATATTGAAATCTCTACTACAGATAATAGTGTTGTACAACTGTTAAGCATGATCTCATCATATATATAAACAAGTCATCTAACCACTATGAGCAAGCGTTTTCTAATTAAAAACCATAATATTGAAACCATCGTGTCCACTAAGCTGAACGGTTTAATCTTGAAGCTTTTACTGCGTTTCCAAATAATATCAACAGTACATGATTTAGAAAGAATTGAGTTTACATTATTTATAAATTATTAACAGCTCGTTTCGCCAACAAGAAATTCGATTAGATGTCATTCATAATGACACACACAAACCATAAACTAAAAATATTGTGAAAAAGATATCGATTTCGTTTGTTTTTTCACCTGAGTGTCATTATGAAAACAGTGTTAATTCTATTACATTTGTTTCATATGAAATAAAAACTAGAACTTTTATTAAATAAAAATCACTTGTCAGCCTACTTGTATTATTATAACATGGTTAGGAGAGGATCTTGTAGAATTAAAATTATCTCTTGTTGGTAGTTGACCATATAGGTCCTCGTTTTTTACGTATTGCACCATATTAATATGTGAAATATATCGTCGTAGATTTGAAATGGAACTGAATGGTAATAAATAGGATAACGGACCTGAAGTTTCTGATGATTTGTTTATGACAAACCGTATATTTTTAGGGTGCTGTAAATGAACTGGTTCTAACCATAAAGAATCCTGTAAAAGATTAAAATTGAATGATTTTATACATAAAAGAAAACATTAAATAGGTAACTTCTAGGGGTTATAAAAGGAGTCAACATTATTTACCGGTAAACATTATGGAATAAAGTGTTTACCCTTGTAGAGTAAAGTATATAAGCAGGAAAAAAGGAAAAAAAACACTTGGCAATTTCTCGACTTATACTGTCACAACTAAACCACTAAATCACTTTCTTCCCAAACTTTGTTTAGTAGAGTTAAATTAAGGCTATGAAATAAGAACATACAGAAAGCATAGAAATCACAGAGATAAAAGATAAAGTCCCCGCAGAGCTCGAGAATAACGTAGTTTTTACGACCTCACAATTTATCAAGCGAAAAATACTCTGCTCACTAAATCCTCAATTCGAGCAACTTTTTGGCCTGTTTTCCATACGTTTATACCTGAACTCTTTCCTATAATCAGAGAAGAGCTACGCACTCACAGGCTAAACGCGAACACACCGATAATTAAACATTACTACACAAGCAAACATTCTCAAAGTACGATGAAAGTTTGACAGTTTTGAGTAATAGTCACTTCACACAATATTTCAACTACAATAAGAAAGCAAAGAACCATTATTATTTATTCAGACAACTAAGTAGGCTAAGTAAGTCCATAATGATTTAGTGATGGCTTAAATCAACACCAAAAAGTACAGAAACGTATGGATGATAGTATTGGAAAACATGACTATTTTGTAGAAAAATGGTGGTTTTTGCTAACATAATCCTTTTGACCTACATAGTATGTGTCAAGTGCGCCCAACCACCGCCTACGTCGACGGGCAATGTTTGCTGGTGCAGGAGTAGGCTGGAGAAAATTCAAGGGAGGCAATGTCAAAACGTGGCACCAGTGCATAAAGTCGATGAACTCGGTCATTTTAATCGGTATAAGTTACCTGGCTTTGGCCTATGTGATTATTGTAACCAATGGTTAGATATTTTGGATAACATGGCACAAAACTGTTTGCAATGACGCATAAGCATTCATGGTTTATTTTCCCCCAAATTCTGAGATTCTAAGTTCCTTATACCCTTTATTTGTGTCAACTTCACTAATTTATACTTCCTTCCCAAATCATATCTTCGATGCCTAATCATTCTTATTACCACCGATATTTTTAATAACTGCTATTCCTTGATGAGACCCGACATCTTTGTGCTAATGGGGTGTGGCATTTTGAACCGATGTACAGGTTCAACATTGCGATTGAGTGATTTTTATTTTTTGAAAAATTATGTTTCAGTTATGTGTCCAGTTTAATATTTCCACCGTAAAATGATTGAAGATAAGGACAGTTTTTACCCTAGTTTACAGCCGTTAACAAACAAAAACATAAAATAAATAGCATACTGAATGCATTCGATATTACCTACGGCAGTTACATTTAATGGTTAAAATATTGACCAGGAGCCTAAATTATAGCACATAGATTAAAGTTTAAGCACGATTGCACGGTAGGATTTTTAAAGTGACTCAAAAGTCACAAATACATCCTGGATACTTCATCGAGGAGTTTTAACATAATGACTTCACTCATACGACGGAGAACTTAACAATAATTCGAGAAAACCAAGAGAACTTTGTGGCAAATTATACACACTAAGTTGTCAAATCACGAAAAAAAATCCACGAAAACACGAAGTAGAACATACAGTTGAGGATAAAATTACGTCTTTCCAAAGCCAATAAACGTTAGAATGATCATGTTCTGAGAATTCCGAATATCTCCGAAATTTACCGAGTAGTAACATTAACAGTAGTACTACTAGGAGGACTGAGAGAAAGATGAGAATCTGACGGTACATGAAACGTGTTGTTGACAAGAAAAAGGGTGTAGGGAACCATCTGAAAAAAATAGAAGCATTGATTATGAATTTTCGATATATTCTTTAGTCGAAGAGTTACAAAAATAAAAGCCGTCAGCCTACCTGACTTTGATGTGCATTGTTCGTAATTTAGTTGTTCATTTAAAAGAATTTGTGCAACAGCGCTAAAAGATAAACATGCTGACAGTAAATATACAGGTGATAAAGGATGAATAAAAGTGTTTCAAAATCTAAACACTAACCATTGAAGTACACTTAAATGTCCTATGCTGCCAGTATTTTATAATTCGATATCTGTATTCAATATACAAGCAGACATGGTCACAATATATCTATCTATCAAACAGTAACCAATAATATCCATTCCTCACAAAGAGTTCCGAACTCATGCATTGTGCGCCTACTCCTCAAAGATCAATACATTACCCAGGTTATATGTCATACCTTCCCAATTGACAGTGTGAGTAATGCGCCACTTAACCAAAATATTTCAATCAACACTTCCCATAAAACGAATACCAAGCTAGATGAAAAGTGATCCATCCAATGTCATGTATTACATTATTCAAAAAAAATAATCTTCAGATTTCGGACATATTGGAGAAAAGCCAAAATAATACGTTTACGATTTCGAGATTTGCAAAATGTTTCCGTAATGTACGACGCCACACCACAAAATCATACGAACAAGGCGGATCACTTACCACAAAAGTCGGCGTATATTCACATAAACTACAAACAGATACTAAAATCCTCTACTCATTATTAGGCCCCTACAGAGACATAGGACCACGAAAAGAAGCCACGTTATTTGAACAGCGCACACTAACGCGCAAAATCAAATTATTCATAACATCTATTAAAAACAAATCACTTTACAAATGCGTTTACACTTCATAAATACACTATTGATCAATAAAAAATTGGCCATATTATACAAGATGTACAAATTTATAGCCTGTGTGAGAAGATTATGTTCAAGTATTCAAACCTGTAGAAATGTGTTTTGACTTTGAAAATTATTTGAGTTGTTAGTGAAGGAGTAGTATAATGGAACTAGTCTAACCGAAACTCTAAACAGTCTCTCTTCTTTTACTTTACACCCATAAAATGTGATCTTTAAAACTAGATGACTGTTGAAAGTTAGCGGTATTTGATTACAGATATCTCTAAATGGTTCAAATGGTTCAAATGGTTGAGGATGGAATAAAAGAAGCTTTCGCTTAATGGGCTTCCGTGTCTAGGAGCAGTGGACCACCAGTACCTCCAGGCAAAAACCTAGGTATATGAACGATAATAGAGGAAAAAAAGAATTTGGTAAATCATAATAATATGTTATCCTTAGTCCTTAAGAATAAGTCAAGTTTCCTCTTAAAGGACTTCTGAGAAGTCGCTTGGACTAGCTCAGTCGGTAGCGAATTCCAGCACTTAACAACTCTGAAGGAGTGTAAGTTGTGTCTGCAGTCTGTTCTGCTATGTAGGGTCTCCAGTTTCTGGATGTTACCTCTTAGGTTAGTGTTGTGACTAAGCTTAAGAAGATGTTTAAGGGGATGACCAGAAGTATTAAGGATACTATAAGTCATAAGAAGATCACCTCTAAGACGCCTGTACTCTAACGGGTAAAGGTTAAGTGATTGGAGGCGCTCTTCATAAAGTTTGAATTTGAGTCCCCGAACTGATTTCGTGGCTCTACGTTGGATAAGTTCCAGAGTGTCCTTATCCTTTTGGAGAGAGAGAGGAAATACTATGTTTCCGTACTCAAAATGGGGACGAATAAAACTATTAAAGATTATGTGGAAGGTCCTACCGTCAAACTGGCCAAAAATGCGCTTCAATGTTACCAGTGCAAGGTTTGCTTGTAAGGCGTTTTTGTCACAGTTCGCATACGATTTCAGGTCGTAGGGTACCAACACTCCCAAATCTTTTTCCACTTGGGAAACTTCTAGAGGTGAGTTACCTAAGTTATAACTATAGTCTGCAACATGTCTCAGATGGACTACTTTGCACTTTGAAGTGTTGAAGGTAAGTCTGTTGTCGTCTGCCCAACTTTGAAGTCGAGTCAGATCCTCCTGAAGAACTAGTATATCATTATGATTACGTATCTCCCTCCAAAGTTTCACATCATCAGCAAAAAGCAATAAATCAGATGAAACTTGTTGAGGAAGATCGTTAATATAAATCAAGAAGAGAAGAGGTCGTAGTATTGAGCCCTGGGGGACCCCACTAGGACATTCCATAGCCTGAGAGAGAGTGAAGTTAACCCTGACCTTAAAGTGTCGGTTTTCTAGATGTGAAGTGAGCCAGTCAACCAGAGGGGGTTTAATACCCAATCGTCTAAGCTTCTTGATAAGAAATATATGGTTGACCCTATCAAAAGCTTTTGAGAAATCCAGGTAGATGACATCAACCTTCCCCTTGTGATCAAGGATGGTTGTCCATCTATCGACCGCAGTCAGCGGGTTGGCCATACAAGAATGACCTTTTCTGAAACCATGCTGTTGAGGTTAGAAGAACTTTAAGGATGATAAGTATTCTAGTATACCGTCGTATATTAGGGATTCCATAATTTTGGAAGGTATGGAGAGAAGGGCCACTGGTCGGTAGCTTGAGGGTTCACTGCGTCGACCTCCTTTGAAAATATGTGTGATGTGAGCCAGCTTCCGCATTTCTGGTAGTTTGCCTTTGCTGAGCGAGTGTGCAAACATCACGTTAAGGATTGAAGCTACTTCCCTCTATACAGCAGAATGAACCATATCCGGACCAGGAGAAGTGTCTTTTCTTAGGTGCTGCAGTTTACGGAGCACCAGGTCAGCACTCAGATCCACTTCGGAAAGTCCTGTACAGGTGCAGGTGAAGCTTTCGTCAGTATAGTTGATATGGGTCAGTTGGAATGTCCGGGAGTATTGTTCAGCTAAAAGGTTAGCGGCATCACTGTCGTTATTGGTCGGGCCATTGGGACCAAGCAGTTGGGAAACCCCAGTTTTGCCTTGTCGAAGAGAAGCTGCGTAACGGAATAAGCTCTTCGGATCGGAGACAAATTTATCGATAAGCTTGGTCTGGAACTGAAGCCTGTCTTCTCCTATTGCCTTTGTGCATATGTTCCTTATATGTTTGTATTGCCTGTACGCGCCATTGTTCTCAGTTCGTTTATATTCAGCCCAACAGTGCCTTTTGCGGCCTAGCAAACGACGAGTGCGGTTCTTGATGATTGGGAGTTGTTTGTAGCTTTTTGGGACCATTTGAGGAACTGAATGCTCAGTAGCACATAAGATCGTGTGCAGTAAAAAATCCCAATGAGCATCCACTTCAATTTGAGGGTGAACATCCCAATCCACCTGTTGTAGATAGTCCTGTAAAGCTAACACATTCAACCGTTTGAAGTTCCAGTGCTTGTTGCTAGTAGGATATCGTAGCTCCGTCTTGCTGACAAAGCTGAATGATAAGACGACGCGATCACTTTTCCGCAGGGGAGCCAGGATTGAGAGGTCATCAACTAGGAATTCTTCATTTGTGAATACCCAATTTAAGCGCGACGGCGTCTGACTGTTTCTCCAACAAGTTGCCGACTTCAAATTTTCGAATAATCCCAGGTCACCGATGAGGTTGAAGAACAGAGCTTCAGTAGAGTTGTCACCTCCAATGTATGTATGTTCCACGAAGTTGATTCTAGGGAGATTGAAATCCCCTAGAATCAGGATTTGAGAGAATCCGAGACGCGTAGAGCGGGTTAATCCTTCCAGCAGATGTTTGTCATACTCGATGTCGGCAGTGGGCTTCCTGTAGACGACCCCAACTAGGCACCTCGAGGTGGTAGATAATCTTACTGAGCACCATACTGACTCATCAAGATTGAGAAACTCTTGGTTGTGAAGTTGGTGCGCCCCCAGGCATGACCGTATGTGCAGTGCTACCCCACCCTCCGTTCCTGTTTTTCTGTCGTTGCAAAATAAAGACATTCCAGTTATTGCTAGCTCCTGGTCAGTAAACTGAGACGTTATCCAAGTTTCGGATATTCCTATCAGGTGGGCATCATTAGCGTTGCTAAGTTCACGTAGCTCATCCATTTTGTTTGGCAAGCTCGCGGCGTTCGTGTATAGGCAGTTTATGCTATCAATTTGGAACGCGTGAGCTTCTTCCTGTGTGTCTATATGAGCCGTGCGTGAGTGGACAGGTAGCCTACCTATACAATGTTTACCGAGTTGGTGGTCCCTGTCCTTTACACGTTTTTTTATGATCAAGACAGTCCACGAGTGGAATTGTCAGCTCCAGCTTTCGTTTGTGCTTGATCCTGCTGTCGTGGGGCCTATCCGGATGCATATGGATGCCAGTTAGCAACCGACGTCTATTGGCACGAAATGCTTCCAGAGTTGCAGCCGCCATGTGAGAGGAGGGGAAGGTTATTTTCAATAGCCGAGGTCTAGAGTCTCCGTCTCTCTTGGCTAGTCGCATTACCTGTTGGGTCAATATATTCTTGAGTTTTAAGGAATGCTTAATAAATTTCCATTCCCGAATATCAAAGTTTGCTTGAGTTGGGTCCATATTTTCCGGTACACCTTGCACAATGATATTTCTTCCACGGAAAAACGCCTCGCGAGATTCCTTAGGGATGTTCCAGATGAGATTTCGTTCAGAATACGGTATGTAGAGCAGTATTCTTACGTTCCCATCGGATTTCAGTATGTGACTGGCTAGCAGGACGTCCTCTACGTCGGAGGCATTCTTAAGTGTAACACGAAGCAGCCTCGAGTGGTTTAGGTGGTTAGAGTCCTTCCCCCGAGTGAGCCGTGTGATCGTTAAAGGCTTTATTCTAGGGATTTCAAGCCTCTTGTTCAATTCTCCCCAGAGCATCCTATCGTTTTTGTCCTGCAAACTGAGAGGAAGGTCGGGGTTGTCAATAAGGTTCATGATTGTGACAGAGTCGTCACGAACCGTAATTGATTTCCCAGGTTTTCCAGGGCGTCTAGGTTTGGTATCTTGTTGTTTGGATGTCGGGGCGCGTTTTCGATTCCTGGGCTCAGTGATGACCGGGTGGACAATCTTGGGGGTAGACTGTGAGGCCAAAACATCAATTGATTTACGCACGGTACATGGGATGTTCAGCTTCTGTGGGAACGCTTTGGCCTTTTTACTCCTGTTAACGTGAGTCCAACCACCCTCAGGGTTTTTGGGAACCACTGTTTCATTCAAGGGCTCTTCCCTGGGGGACCCAAGTTTACTGAGGGAATCGATGACAGTCGATGTTAAGATGGTACTGAGTTTCAGCACGTCATCACTCGTGCTTTTACCCGCACCGTTGATAGTCAACCTGTTAATATCCTTTTTTTGTTTGCCCTATGCGTTCCAGTTTTGTTACCCCTCATGATACTGTCATTTACCAAATTCTTAGACAACTTATCTCTCAGACCTGTTAGTAAAGTAATGATGGTACACAACATAACTACGGTAACAGTGTTGCAGTTAACGCATACCCACCTACGATCAGACTTGCTGAGTCTAATGTAGGCCGCTGCTGTTAGATCTGTACATGCTTCGTGGAACCAACCTTTGCAGTTTTCACATTGCATGCCAAAAATAACAGCGTAACGGCAATCAGGTTTTTTGCATGAATTTTTCATGGCTAGTGATTTAGACTGTCTTATAAATACAAGCAGTAAACTTAGGACCGTTAAAAAAACACACACACAGTTCACAAAAACTGGCAAAAATGTATAAAAACAGTTAACGATAAGCTAAAGCTAGTCTTTACGTGAAAACTATAGAAAAAATGCGATAGTGAGCTGAGGCAAAACCACAGTTAAATTTAAGTTGAGTGAAAAACAA